CTGTGCCGGTGGGTGTAGGCTTGCAGCAGAGCCCGGGAGGTTTCGCGTGGGAAGAGCCGTGGCCCGCGCCTCTGTCTCCCTTTCCTTTCTAGCTCAGCTGGATTTACAGAGGAGTGCTGGGATTTGTAGTTAACTGCGTTCATGAATGGTTCTCACGGAGCGTTGGTTTGAGGCATGTCCTTTCCAAATTCGGAGTTGTTTTTTAATTTTGGTACTTCTGTGTGTTTTCCTGCTATGTCTGGGGGGGGGGGGCGGGAAGCCCAACTATTGTCAATTTGTTACAAATGCAATCTGCTGCAAATGCAGAAATCTCTGCAGAGTTTCTGTTGAGTGTTTTGAGACGCTTAGGCCTCATTTTTCAACCAGCAGTCACACTGATGACTACAAACAAACTTTGAACTCCCATGTCATGCTCTAGAACCAGGTAGGTGCTGTGACCTCACTGTAAAGCTTAGGTAATGTTTATGCCTCAGAAGTTTATGACCGAGTTCTGGTACTTCTTCCTAGAAAGTGAGTATTTAGGAGGCAATAAATGCCATATGGCTAAACCAGGTGTGTCTGTAACACCACCCTAGATTTACTTCTACACTTCTGATTTGTGTTGTGTAATAGTATTTTCACAAGATAAAACGAGTATTGGATATGCCTCTTACTAGATCGAGAGAGCTGTTGGGATGCTTATCACAAAAAGGTAGGCATTTGATAATGCTTAGGTCTTCTGTCCTGTTCTTTGACAGACTAACAGCTCGCTCTTGGCTATGAACTGAGAGGGGTTAGACTGAAGGCCATCCAGCTCAGTGTGCTGCTTCTGAAAAAGTGAAGTGATGGATGTTTATGGAAGGAGCGAGGGGAAAGAGCATGCCTTCTTTTAGCATGTCTCTGGCAAACAGTGCCTTAAGGCACATCCTGAAACTACTTAAAAAATCTGCTGGAAGGTAAAGCAGAAGGCTTAAATGTCTGTTTTCAGCTGCAGTAAAATTTGCTGCTTTGCCTTGACATTTCAACTGTCAGTCCGGAGTTACTTTTTATTTAGTAGGCTGGAAATAGAAGCTGGGCACCAATACTTCTGCAGTTGCCACCAGCTACCTGCTACTTCTTTTTTAGCCTGCGATTATGTTATGGTCATGTCCATACTACATGTCAATGAGCTGTGTTGCAAGACAGCCCATAGAACTGCCATGCTGAAGTTTCTGTCCTTCCTGTAAACAGTTGTAGCCAGGCTTCTTCACTGTGCTTTCTATTCCATATACATAAGCAACTGTGCCTGTTTAAAAGCTTTGGGGCAGTTCTTCATATCTGCTATGTCACAGTCTATATAAGAATCGTAGTTATGGTATTTTGGCCTGAAGCTATGTGGTATATTAACTTATAAACTTATTCAAAATTGTGCATCACTTGGTAGGAAGTACTATAATTAGATGCATTTGTAAAATAAGACACACTGAGAACAACCCTGACTCTCTAAATGATGTCGTTTTAGTCAACTTTCTGTATTTGGCATTGGTACTTTTGATGTAGGTGGGGGAAAAAAAACTTCTTGACTCTCAGTGGGATGAAATGGAAACACACATTTCACCCAGTCTTGTTGAGAATTTATCATTAGCTTAACTTATAGAATAACATTAAAACAATTTACAAGTACAAACTAAAAAAAAGTGTCATTACTTAGGTATAAAGAACAGCTTTATGGTTTAATATAAAATGATACCTGTCGTCAAAGTAGCATTGTAATTCTCTCTTTTAAAATCTTAACATTACGTATGCCAAGCACACAATGAAACTGTTTGAGACAGAGCTTTATCTGTGAGTGTAGTTGGTGTCTCTCTTCTCTCCCTTTTTCCTCAAAAAGTTAGAAGGCACCCAAACACAAAAATCTTTAAAGTGCGTTGAAGAGGAGTTAACCAAAGGCATTCAGACAATTTTAGTGTGGCATTCTGACTAGCCATATAAATATTGATTAATGTTATAACTGGTTTGTTAGTTGAATTAATCTAGTAGGATCTTTATCACAAAGCTTATAATAGTTCTTTTCTGTTTGCCTTTTTCAGTCTTGGCCTCTCTTCTTTCATTTCAAAACTTAGGTTTGAGGTCTAAGACTGATTGTCCAGACTGGACACGGCTTTAATTCTCTTGTGCCCATGCTGCTGTGCAGCTGCTGTCTGTAGGAGATCTTTATTAGAGGTTGGAGCTGAGTGAATGTGTGGAGCTGAGGAGCTTTCATTCCCTTCTGCCCTGCGTACTCTTCTGGGTCAGTTGTCTGGGTAACAGTCCTGAAGCTCCATTGCCCAAAAAGCAAAGGCGGGAGTGAGAATAGAACTGCAGAATGGTGGCAGAAATGGCAGTGTTCTGGTCAGAGGCCTGGCTTCTGGTCTGAGGTCTTGTTTGTAGAGAAACATGTGTAAGGATCGGAGTATGCTCTTTCCTTTAAGTGCATGTGATCTCTCCTTTAAATGTGTGATCAAGTGGTATTTGTATTTGTTAGAGAATGATCTCAACTTTCCTATTATCGGTTAGGTTTACCACTCTGTGTAGTGGCCTCAATGCTTCCTTCACATCTCCATGTAATGCCTAGGTTGATTTCCATAGAAGTCATCTGAAAACACTATCTGGGGAAAAATTTGATAGTATTTACATTACAGCCATTCCTCAATTTTCCTTCTTTGATTTGCATATTGAAAGATAACTTACACGTTTGCCAAAGGTTGAATTTGTGTCTCAGGAGCATGCAGTGCCTCTTCCCGATTGCCAAGGGTGACATTAAGGAAGTGCATTTTTAAATTGAAAGAGTGCTTTTCAACATGTGAAGAGCACTTGCTCCAATGGTGTGTTCTGTCTGTAACTACTGACTATTGTGTTCATAGGCGATGGAGCACCTGCTGGTAACTATGGCTATACCAATAGTGGATACAGTGTTTATGAAGAAGAAAATGAGAGGTTAACAGAAAGTCTGCGTACAAAAGTCAGTGCCATTAAATCAGTAAGTATTTAATTATAGTGGTATCATCATGTTTATTGAATTAAATTATATGGACCAGTGAAGCAGTAGGCTTAGTTTTAAAGATAAATTTAATACTGTGGTGGGTTGATCCTAGATGGATGCCAGGTGCCCACCAAAGCCCTGCTATCACTACCCTCCTCAACTGGACAGGAGAGAGAAAATATAACAAAAACTCGTGGGTGGAGATAAGGACAGGGAGAGATCACTCACCAGTTAGCATCATGGGCAAAACAGACTCAACTTGGGGAAATTAGCTTAATTTATTAGCAGTCAAATTAGAGTAGGATAATGAGAAATAAAAACTAAATCTTAAAACACCTTCTGCCCACCTCTCCCTTCTTCCTGGGCACAACTTTACTCCCGATTTTCTCTACGTCCTCCCGTGCAGCAGCCAGGGGGATGGGGAATGGAGGTTGCAGTCCATTCATCACACGTTGTTTCTGCTGCTCCTTTGTCCTCAGGGGGAGGACTCCTCACTCTTCCCCTGCTCAGTGTGGGGCCCCTCCCACAGGAGACAGTCCTCCACGAACTTCTCCAATGTGAGTCCTTCCCACAGGCTGCAGTTCTTCACGAACTGCTCCAGCATGGGTCCCTTCCATGGGGTGCAGTCCTTCAGGAACAGACTGCTCCAGCGTGGGTCCCCTGCAGGGTCACAAGTCCTGCCAGCAAACCTGCTCCAGCGTGGGCTCCTCTGTCCACGGGCCCACAGTTCCTGCCAGGAGCCTGCTCCAGCACGGGGTTCCCACGGGGTCACAGCCTCCTTCGGGAACCCACCTGCTCCTGTGTGGGGTACTCCCCGGGCTGCAGGTGGATATCTGCTCCACCGTGGACCTCCACGGGCTGCAGGGGAATCTCTGCTCCGGCTCCTGAAGCACCTCCTCCCCCTCCTTCTTCACTGATCTTGGTGTCTGCAGGGTTGTTTCTCTTGCATATTCTCACTCCTCTCTCCGGATGCAATTGTGCAGGTTTTTCTCCCCTTCTTAAATCTGTTATCCCAGAGGCACTACCACTATCACTGATGGGCTCAGCCTTGGCCAGTGGTGGGTCTGTCTTGGAGCCGGCTGGCACTGGTGCTATCAGACACGGGAGAAGCTTCCAGCAGCTTCTTATAGAAGCCACCCCTGTAGCCCCCCCCCACCAAAACCTTGCCACACAAACCCAATACAAATACAAGAAAGAGTTATTGTCAGCCAAAATGCACAATCATTCATTTGTATAACTGATTTGTCCTTTTAATTATATTTTTAAGCTAAAGGTGTCCTTTTTTGCTAATCTTGGACAGCTGTGGTATTACGGCTTACTGTCCTACAGAATGAATTACTGTCCCTGCAGAAACTAGAAACTTTGAGTTTAGGTCAGTAAACTGTTTCATTTAAGAAAATGCACTATGTCTTTTTGGTGTTACCATTGTGGCTCATCAGTTTCTGCTGTATCTCCAGATAAATCTGTAATGTGAAAACAGCTCTTAGAAATAGTGTGTTAATATCCTCTGAAAGAGATGTTTGTTTTAATGATTCTGATTCCTTCCAGAGATTGAGGACTTATATCAAGCAAGTCTAACTGAAAGACAGCTCTATGATTAAAATTGCATGGGTGTATTTTTCTTAACAACTTAAGATTTTGTAAAATACATTCTTAGCAATAGGTGCTGTTTCTATATATGTAGTACAAGCCAATGAATTCTTAGGCCCAAACTCATTTGAAGTCCTATTGCTAATGCTACCGCTTAGAAGTTATTTGTTTAGCCTCAAATGGAATCTAAAACCTTAGGTTTAGAATAATAATTTAGAATAAGTTAAGGGGTAGAAAAAGCTTTGACCTTTGTTATATAATTTCATTTCTGGTCTCCTTCTCTGGCATGTTACACTTCAAAATCAGTGTGTCAGCAGTGCAGTTGATAGTGCCCCATGGAGTAGACTGTGTGCTCTTTCAAGCCTTTGCATCTTTTAGTGCAATGTAATAATTTTGGGGTATGGAATAGTCTTCAGATAATCTTCCTAGAAGCCTCATGTAAAATCAGATCCACTCTTGACTTGATTATAGATTGCAGTGAAATGTAGCAGTAAGAAATAACGAGATTTAGGTTGTGTCACAAAAAACACATGGGTTTTGGCTAATCCAAAGCATGGGGGCCTGGAGCACATTTCCCTCCCTTGTAGGAGTTCAGCTCAGGAGTTCAAGGTCAGTGTGCTGATACGCACTGTTACTAAGGAATAGCTGCTAAGAAGCCTCTGTGGGTTCTCCCCTGTTTCACTTTGGAGCTGCTTTTAAGCCCAGGCTCTCCTAAGGGTTATTGACAGAATACTGTGCATGTTGTTTTTTTGAAAATACCAGGTACTGTTTTCACATTTTAGCTGGGGAAATGCTAGTCATGTCATGCGTATTAGATTGGTTTCTCTAATCTATGTGTAGCTGATGACTTTTTGGTTTTTTTAATAGCTTTCCATTGAAATTGGAACAGAAGTTAAAAACCAAAATAAAATGTTATCAGAAATGGTAAGTATTTAGTCACTAACTTTCTTTAAATATGGGGCAGGATTAAGAAGTTAGTAATGTAAAGCATTCCTCCTTTTAGTATGAAAATTTGTATTAGAATGTTGACAGCTTATTGTTGATTGTTTGACTAATTCAGCAGCAATATTTCTGTTCAAAAAGATAGATGTGCAAATGCATTACTTCCAAGGCACAAGCAAGGTCTTTATACTTCAGATATGACTATGTTTTCAATTAGAAAATGTATAGTATTATGAAAAAGGCAGTTTTATATTGTATTTAAAAATAGAAGAGGGAAGCAAAAGATAGCGAAGTCAGAAATGCCTTTTTTGTTTATATTTTGCTTTGGCTTGGGGGGGAAAAAAGTATCTCTGGGTAGATGGGTGAAAGTTTTTCCTGGCTAATTTTCAGAAACTGCCTCTGAAATAATTTTAGTGTTGGAAAATTTGAAAAAACAGGAAAAACTACACTTAGCAAGCTTTAGGGGTTCTTTTCTCAGAGTAACATGGTTTTTGTTGTTTTGTGTGTTGGTTTTTTTTTAAATGTAGGATAACGATTTTGACTCTACGGGTGGACTTCTAGGTGCAACTATGGGCAGACTGAGAACACTCTCCAGAGGAAGCCAGACAAAGCTGTTATGCTACATGATGCTCTTTGCATTGTTTGTTTTTTTTGTAATATACTGGATTATTAAACTGAGGTGATGCATGTTACCTTCGGTTTAAATTCTGTAATTTCAACTATAAACCAGTCTTAATGAAGACATTGATCTAAAGTGGCATATTCTGTTGATAAAACACAGTGAAATTGTTGTAAATTGCATTAACTATTAATGCGATGTTATATATAGTTTTCTTAATGTATCAATTTCTCCCATCATCCCCTGTTTTGGGGGGATTATTTGTAAATATGCAGAAACTGCTATCATAGTAGGTTGCTTTTTTAGGGGAAAGTAGTTTTTTGAATTGATTTAAAAAAACAGAAAATAACAGTTGTTTGGATATGAAGTAATTACAGAATTACAAGGCTTTCTCTTTCATTCTGCTTTTCATTCTGGGCCATGCTCTAAATTAGAGCTCCAGTTCCAGGCATACAGTAATTTCTAGGTTGCAAAAGCATGAAGAATACTTGGATCTTCCTATATTGGTTTTATCTGTGGATTTTTAAAAGACTGGCCTGAAGCTAACAAATGTAATAGTGGTACCCCCAAAAATTATTTTTGTGGATAGGTCTTATAGTGCATGTGTTTAAGTAGCTTAAACTGTGTATTTTGGGGAGAAGAAGTTACTTAAAACTGGATTATTTTTTTTAATTTGTTATTTAAATGTGACAAATCATGCTTACACATCTGCTCTTTTAAGCAAATGCCTTTGGTCATTGGGATCAACCAATATGGACACAGTACAAATGTTTTCTTTATATTTAAAGTATCTAAAACTTAATGATTCCATTGAATCACTAAACTTTTAATATGTTTACTTCTCAATCTGTGATGATCCCTAAATTTACACTGCATGATGTCTGAAACATGAGGTCAGATATTTTGAATTTTATATTGAATTTATATTATGATTCACCTCTTGGAGGTGCTGTCATATTAAGGTTTTTAATTTGAAGACTTAGCTTTGGCTCACCAGATAGTTTCTAATAGTTGAAGCAATTACATTGCTGAGTTTAACGTTCAAAAAATTAAGTTTTCTAAATATTGGAGTTGTATCTACAATTTTTGAAAAACTTTTCTAGAAATACTGTGTAATGTGTTACCATTAATAACTAATTATGAACTGACAAATAAAGTGTCCTGTAGTATTATACATTCTTTTCTACTGTAGAATACCAGTGTATTTTTTGGAAATGGTGCTGCATTTAAAGGGCTCTACTTGTGTGGGGAGCACTATTAAAATAAGAAATGGAGGGGTATGCTACATTTCTTTCATGTTAGATTTCATATATAATGGAAATATGATGTGTAAATCACCTAATACAGAACACACAGAATGTGTAAAAGTAATTAAAGCTCAAATATATCTAGCCTATTTAATCTTTGCCTGTAACAAGGTCTACAATACTTCTACAAATAACATCTAAGTACTAACACCAGGATGATGCATTGTCTTTAGATGAGAATTGCTAGGCTTGTTAAACCAGTACAGCATTCCCAAAGCTGGTCAAGAGTATATAGCTTGCCATCCAAAATTGATGCATTTCTATAATTTTAATGAGACAGTGGAGTGCAAGGTACCTAACAAGTGAGATGATAATTACTGATATCTCCCCTGACAGTTGGATCATCTTTGAGAAGTACCTTTCTGGCTCTTAAACATTGTGTCTGTCCTGGTTTTGGCTGGGATAGAGTTAATTGTCTTCCTAGTAGCTGGTACAGTGCTATGTTTTGAGTTCAGTATGAGAAGAATGTTGGTAACACACTGATGTTTTCAGCTGTTGCTGAGTAAGTAATGTTTAGTCTAAAGTCAAGGATTTTTCAGCTTCTGATGCCCAGCCAGCGAGAAAGCTGGAGGGGCACAAGAAGTTGGGAGGGGACACAGCCAGGGCACCTGACCCAAACTGGCCAAAGGGGTATTCCATACCATGTGATGTCATGTCCAGTATATAAACTGGGGGGAGTGGGGACAGGGGGATCGCTTCTTGGGGACTAACTGGGTGTTGATCGGTGGGTGGTGAGCAATTGCACTGTGCATCATTTGTATATTCCAATTTTATTATTACTGCTGTCATTTTATTAGTGTCATCATTATTAGCTTCTTTTCTGTTCTATTAAACTGCTCTTATCTCAAAAATCTTTTCCTGATATTCTCCCCCATCCCACTGGGTGGGGGGGGAGTGAGTGAATGGCTGCATGGTGCTTAGTTGCTGGCTGGGATTAAACCATGTATCTGAACAATTTCTAGAGATTTATTTTTTTTTAGCAATTAATCTGTCATACCAATAAATGGAAAAGTTTTTAACTACCTACCTAATATAAAGTAGAAAAATGGGTAGATGCAGCTAGTTACATGGTCGTTACAGTTCCTGTCTTTGTTCTGAAGAATATGCTAGGATGCCTTAAGTAAGTCCTTACAGAGCACATATTGGTAAAAATCTGTTACCAGTCCTTCAGATCATGTATAAAACCAACAGGATTTTCATTTTAAATGTCAAACCAGATTAAAAAGTAATTAATGCAGAATAAGAACTAGGTCATCTTCCTTTTTCCCCCATTCCCCCCATTCTTCAGTGGTGTGGAGGAGTGAGGGGAAATGAATTGGGGGAAAAGATCTTAAGCCTATGTCTTCCTTTCTGTGTTTCTTCATTTAAGGGGGGGTTGTAAAATTTTTTTTGCTGTTGTCTAAATAGGGCAGGAAATGGGGATAAAGCTTAAGCACAAGGAATATATGAAGCCTCCAACCAACTGTCTACATCTGTATGTTTCTTAGAAAACACACAAGGGCTTTTTTAATTAAGTACTGAAACAGAGCCCCATTAGGCTCTTTTAACATGAATGTGTCTGAAATGTAACTGGAAGTTATGTAGTCAAAACTGTGACATTTCTGTATGGTTTTGTTATTTTACAGGATGTAGCACATTTCCCTTTCTTCAATTCCAGTAAAAGGTGATGTTCAGTTTAAAATGTGAACTGGAATCCTGCAAGTTTGCTTAGAATGGTTAAGGTGACTTTACATAAAGGTGAAACTGCTTTGAGAATACTTCACTCGGGGAAGGGGAATGGCAATTGGTGAGAACCATGCATTGCAGCCTTAGAATGTTCTTCAGCATCTGTGCTTGCTTTACTAGTCATTTTCTGTTAGAAGAGTATTACTCTGACAGGACTTAAAATTCACAAATAGCAAGGTTTCAGGGTGCCATTGTATGACCAGTGGATATGATAGGAAAATACTAGTAGCATTAATTGTATTTTTACAAAGTTGCGGTTAATAGCAGCTATGTAAGAATACTGCAATTGTTATTGTTTTTGCAATCTTTTGTCTGTAACTTTTACACAATATTTATATATTGTTTTTCTCAGTTTACTGTAACTTAGACTCTATCTAGCAAACATGCAGATCACTTCCAAGTGGAGGGAAATATCATCTTTTAACTGTCAAACTGTTAACCTTGCAGTATCATGGAGATTCCTTAGAAAATGCTTAATTGACATTCCATTTGATTAAAAGGAAAATTCCCCGGAAGTTTTTTTTTTTTTTTTTTTTTTTTGCAATAATACAGGCTGTCTCTTCTGGCTTAAATGGCTGTTTTAGGAAGAGTTAATTACACACATTTTTCGTATTAATGTGTTTATTTTTAACATTTTTCTTTAATTACACACAAAACATAATACCTTACTGCTGAAGTTCAGGCTTCCAAAAGCTTGAGATACAATTAAATAGTTGTTTGGAGAATTCTACAAATAAAAACCCCCACTCCCATCACCAAACATCCATGACAGTGTAGAACAAGTCAATGTGAACTTGGCAAAGAAGACAGAGCTCATTTTGATGAGTACTTGCTAAAAGTGTAAGATAGGGAAGGTACTTGTAATTGAGAGCAAAATCACTGGTCCAGTGTTTTAATATGGCAGGGAATAATTTGTGCCTTAATTATTGATCTTGAAAGCAAAGCTACACTGAAATAAGATTAAGCTACTAGTGAAATCATAGCTGTATCCATATGGAAGTTCTGCTTCTTAGCTCGCAGCTTAGATGCTCTAAAATGTAGATACACCTTGATTAAAGAAGACATTTTTGCTGGGTGCTTAGTGTGGATCACTAGACTCCCCAAAGCAGTAACTCACTGAAAAAATAATGGAAAAAAAATCTTGCAGGAGGCCACGTGATTTCAGACTGCTTTGTATCAACAGAAACTTGACATTGGAGAACACATAGAATGACAATGATTAAAGAACTTGACAAGCATTTCAATGGCAAAATTACTGTTACGTTTTCTACTTATTTTATCCTTGAAACGTACTGGCTGTTACTTTCAGTGTGCAGTACAAGCCACGCTCTTGCTTTCTTAATTTTCAAGGAAGAGTGGAAATGTGTCACTTGCTTGGAAGTGTTTCCATGTATTTGCATATGATGGAAAGCATGGTTTCATCTGTGCCACCTCCTATTGACATTAATCTCAAGTCTCTGTAGAAATACGAAGAGTAGATTTACACATTTGCATGCCATACTGATAGAACAAGTACAGAACTGTACATACCTATTTATGCATTTATTATGGAGCTGCTTTCATTATATTGAAACCCCTTGTTTACAGAAGTACATACATCGTGTGGACAAACCTGTTGTCAGCACCATAAATACCCTTTTGTGTACAGGGATGTTGCTAATTCAAAATCGAAAGGCTTAAGACACAATTTGGCACGTCCAATTTTCAGATTCTTTAAAAAATAACCTTAACTTGGTGTAGTGCTGTATTTTCATCTTGAAATAAGTTAAAACCTCTCCTAGCATACAACTGCCCCTGCTTAAGGCCAGCTAGAGCCCCTGCAGCTGAACTCCATACAGACTTCTGTTTAGGTCTTACCACTTTGGACTGGCATAGAAAGCATCACAGGCCCTTCCCAAGGTTTTCTGCTGGACTGCCTGCTCAAATTACCTGCACGTCACATACTAATGCCAGTTGTCTGCAGAACACCTCATGCACTGCCTCCTCCTGGTGAGATGGTCCGCAATACTTCCCACAACATCCCTGCTGTTCCTTTGCCAAAGCTGTAGGTGCCTAAGCCTGCGGTTGAATTTTAGGAGGGGAGGGAGCTTTCGGAGGGCCAGCAGCAAAAAGTGTTGCAGCATTTAACTTCCCCTAACTCCGTGGTAAAAAGAATATTAGTCAATCAGTACATGAAGTATTGGAGGATTATATGGAGAAGGTACAATTTTCATTCACGTTTTTTAACCAACAAGCATCCTGGTCTCCCTAATGGCTATGTGAGATCTGGCATAATCCATATTAGTATTATAGTATAGTATTATATAGTAGTATAGTATTACATAGTATACAAAGCTTCTCTGCTTTAAATGAATGGTTGCTCTAAGCATATTTACTTTTGATTTGATATTTCTAATCACACTCATTTAAAAACTGCCATTAATATCACTGAGTCATCCCTAACAGTATTGCCTAAGTTCCTTGTGCTAGCCACACTGCAAACTACTGCAACCTTAAGCAGTTTTCTTCAGAAATTTATTTACTCCTTTGGGGAGAAGAAAAAAAAACCCAAACCACTGAGACAGTTCTGCTAAACTACCTCTACTTAATTCAATAACCTGAAGATTCCCCATCTTCCTATGGGCCTTGTTGAAGGCGGCAGAGCTGGAACAATGGTAGATTACTTGGTCTTCGTGTTGTGGTGCTATCTGCTTTTTCGAGCTGCAGAAAGCCCCTGCCAATGCTTAGCATCTTGCATCTTCACAGCACTGTAGCAACAGTAAGTAATTAATCCTCAGAACTCCTCTGTGATGCTGATAAAAATTCTCCATTTGCAGCAGGAATCCTGGACACATCTGGCTTGTTTATATGAAGTTATAAATAGGCAGTGGTTTGGTGGTATGTGATAGACATGTCAGGCTATCACATATAAATATATGTTTTAAAAAACCAAAACACCTTTCGCGTATGTTTTGTGTGTGAGTGTGTGTGTGTGTTTTTACAAAATTGCTTGTGATTGTCATTTTGTCTCTATGGGTGAGGTAAGGAATATTTCCTACAGAATGTACAGGCAGGTGACTAATGCCAATCTCTCCTCTGGGGAGGCAGGACAGAAGGTTTCACCTAGTTTAAGAGGATTGAGATAACAAAGGACTCAAATGGTTTTAATCTAGCAGTCGCCTTCTGGGAAAGACACTTTCTTTCAGCCTAAGAAAACAAAACCACAGGACTAACTATCCTGCCAGGAACTCTGCGAGGAAGCTGGGGAAGATGACATAGTAAAGAAAGCTTGTGTATCAGCTATTTATTGTAAGTTTATGGTTTGATAGTTTATATTATATCAATAATGCATTATTAATACAGCATATAAATATTTTAATATATATAAATATTGGAATGTTATTGCTTTAGGTAGGCTACCCCTGGAATGCCTTTGATCTGGCATAGCAACACTTTGCTTTCTGATTTCTTCATCGCCTTGTTGCTGCCCCTGTGGCAGAGCAGCACGTCCTGCACTACCTGCAGCCCTGCTGAGGTGAGCACCAACCTGTGATGGCTTCGCCCTGACCAAGGACAGTGAGGAACCAGCCTGCAATGCACCATACAGTTATGTAAAGGTGTCATTTTGAGGGACCAAACTTCTAGCTGCTTGTTGAATGCTGTTTTCCTTAGGGAGTGGGAGTTTGCCCCATGAAAGAGATAAATCCTGACCATTGTGTTCTGCCCCTCCTAAAACACTCCCTACAAAGAGTTTCCTCTCATTCAGGAAATCCCATGCATCTGAAACATCCACTGTAGATTATAAGACTTATTCTACTCAACCAAATCAAGAGATGTAAATGTTAAAAAGCAATCCACTTTTTGATGGATTCAGAAAAACATAAATAATTTCAAAGCTGTTTTAAAAAACTGCGCTTACGAGGGAGGGTGAGGAGCCCTTCGCACCCATCCAACTCAATCCGAGTTATCAATAATTTCCTATTAGGCAGCAAAAGGAACAAAAAGGACCCTCCATGTTGTCAAATCAAGTTTCCCATCTCCATCATAAAACCTCCTTCAGAAGTGTATCGAGCACTGCTTCAAGGAGAAAAAACAAGGTCCCTTTAATCTTAGACTATCCTAATTTGAAGGCTGTCACATAACAAAGTTGTTCTAATGATTAGGAACCCTCTTATTTACAGCCTGAATGTGTTCCTGAGTAGTAAAATCCAGTATAGTCCTTCAGTTTAATGTTCCTCTTTTGGCTGGTGTTGATCCCTCCGCATCCAGAGCACCATTCAGCCCTTGATTTTGCACAAGCAAAGCCATGTCCATCACCCTGCCTGTAAATCTTTTGGTCCCAGTTATCCTGAAAATCAGGGCTGAGTCCTTGCTCCAGTCCGAGCTCTCCCTTGCATGCGATTTCACTAGCCACAAAGTAGGGACATTTACCTACCTCACAGCATGAGGAAAGCTTTTGACCTTGTAACGTGCTATACAGGCGCTAAGGCTGGAGCTAATGGCATGCTACATCTGTCTGTAGCCTCAAGCTGATACAATGTGATGGTCTTTGCAGCTGTGCATCCCACCACCATTTACTACCTGCAGCCGAGAAGCTGTGCCTGCTCAGGGAGCCACTCTACGCTACACTTTTCTCTTGAAAGCCATATGGCATTGGGATCTAGAAAGCCCTTTCTTTTCACAAACACCCTGAGAGGAACCAGCTGCACTATCTATCTTCAATACAGATGTCTTCACATAACTTTGAAGTCCTGAGAAAATAAACTAAGTCATTTTCTTTCCCTTTTCCAGCAGTGGTCAGTGCTGGTCAGACGTGGGGAAGAACGCAAGTTTTGGTGACTCTGGTTTTCCCTAACAGCCTGGCTTCATGGCAGTGGTCCCTCAAAGATGCTGCTCCCTGCTTCCCTGGTTAGGAGGCTATTGGTAAATCCTTCCGAAGGTTTACGTGGCTCGGAGTATCACTGCTTCCCAGAAGGCCATTTACACGCTGCTTCCTTTCAGCACAAATTGCACTTGGTTACAAAACATTTACCCCTTTTTCTCACACTTACTATTTTGAAGTTTTATTACGGGCAAGATTTTTCTCCACAAAATATATTGATGCACCCTCAAGTTTAATATTTTGTGACTTCTTCCATCTTCAGACTCAGCTAGAGCGCTTATAGGCTGTACAAATTAAGCAGCATCTAAAGGAGCCTCTGATCTAGAGGGAGAAGTTTGAGCTGATACCACCCAGTGTGTCAGGCCTCTGGCCAGGCTGGCACAGCCCAGGCACCATCAGCCGTGCCTGCCCGTTCCCATGGCGCTGCCCGTTTCCCCTAAGGGGCATTTTGAAGGGACAGCTGCGCAGGAGTGGGCATCACCCTGCCCTGCTCTGGAGCACAGCTCCACTTTAAAGTCATCACTGTACAGTTACCTACTTTGATTTGCCATATTAGAGCTAGACATCATGTGCTTCATCTCCTAAATTCCCTTTCGAGGTACTCATAAAAGTCAACCAAAGACAGGCATCTGTCTCAAAACCTCTGCAGAAAAAGTTTGAAACTGCGGATTTGCTTTCACAGATGACTGAGGAATCGTTATTAAGTCTTGTCCCAACAGTTAGCTACTGACTTCAAAGCAAATTGTTTTTGTCAGCAGAAATTGATAGGTTTCGCTTCGTACAACCATAAATTGTGATTATGACAAAGACTGATAAAAAAACCCCAATTGTCTAGACTCATTCTAGTTTAGACAAGCTTTGTGAAGAATGAAAGAATACAAAAAATGAAATAAAGAATGAACCCAAATAAAATATTTCAACTGACTTTTTAAACATGTGAGGAATACAAAAATAATTTAGAAGGAAATGCATTACTTATTAAAAAAAAATCCACTTAAAACTATATAGAAGTTTGATTTTTAACTATCCTGAATTACAAATAAAACTTCATATTGCAGTATCTAGGTGACAGTTGAGGGAAAAAAAAGAAATGTTTTTCTTATGCAGCTATGTGCATTTGCAATGCTATTTACGCTTTTATCTATTTCACATGAGCAGTCAATCAATATTTTTAGTACTGCTTTCTCAAGTCTTTCACAATGCAGCAAGTAAAGAAATGGTAGCATTCTCCGCATCACACCCCACAAGAGTAAAACTTGTAAGAACTGGCAGCAGTTAGGCACAGTGGTTAGTACTTAGAAACAATCTTAAAATAAAAAAAAAAAACACCAAATTTTTTAAGAAGGCCAGACAAATTCTTCCTATAACAACTGAAGTGTACATAATTACTATTAAAATACATAGATCACCACCCAAATTTTTTTAAAACTCACGAAGTCTAAAAAATTGCAATATACTGCCACAAAAAGTTTTCCTCCCTGTGATCTCTCACAACCTGGGGTTTTCATGTAGATTTGTTCAATAATTGGTTTCTCTTAAGTCATGATGTCTTTGAAGCATTTCATACAGGGGAGAGAAAAATAAACAAACACAACTCCAGTCTGGCGCTCTCCTGCTCCAGAATCCTACTAGTCAGGTAGAGTCTAGAAAGTTCTATTATTTTTTATATTGACATGTATTTTTTCTATTAAACCCTTTGATATTTGGGCTCAAAACTCTTTTCCAAACCCTTTCTCCTCAGAATCCCTACAACTGAAAATGAGACATTTGCATATATAAAACCAGCCCAGTGTAGGCACCTACATGGTGAAACAGCTATCTTTATGCCTTCTAGAGAATACTGCACTTTAGAAAAGTCAGTTGTTATTACAGATTAACAGATTCTGACTTGAACCTGTAATTGTTTATTTAGGTAATACTATTCTTCTCTCTTTCTGGAGCTTATGGTTACTCAATGATGGAAATTTCACTGATTCATAGAAAAATTTTAGAGTATGAATATCATACCACCTTTAGCCTCATTTATATCAGTGTTTGTTTTAGAGGCAGAAAGATATGTTCCTTTAGCCAGCTGACACAGTTAATACCACTAGGAAATACTCTGGATTTCTTCTCAGGAAAAATATGACTGTGCTGGTGTACTTAGAAACCACTCTGGAATTCACATAGAAAAGCCCTGCCCACAGTTAGCAATAATATACTGGGCTAGGAAATCTAAAGACAAATTAAAGCTATATAAAAGCACATGCACATTAATCTGTACACATTACTACACTGACAGTAAGCGCTTCAAGACAAGGATTCATTTTATTCAGAGTGCCTACTGCCGTAGCTTTTAGCATCTGCATCACCATGGACCATTAGCTGCTAATAAAGACACTGTGAAAAAAATAACTAATAAAAACCATTATATTGACAGCTGGCTTAAAGCCACCACCATGTAGCTGTCTGTACCTTCACCAGAAAATTTCAGGAATCCACAAAGCAAAAAAGACTGAGGATCTTTCTGACCTACCACAATGGCATTCTTTTTAATAGCAGTTTATGAACAATAGAAAAAGTAATTCAATCTACTAAAAAGAAACAAGCTTTTTACAGATTTTTTTTCAAGTGTTTTGCTCTCACTTTATACAGAAACATTTACGAAAACTTTCAACTAACTGAACCACTAGCTGATTTTGCTAACCTTTGATTAGTTATCATATATATAAGGGCTGAACTGAAATCTGTTACTGCAAGAAAATGCTAGTTCCATTTTGGTCCTTCTACAGAATATAAGACACCGAGGCCAGAATTTTCCTAACAGCTGCCAAGAAAACTGTTCGCTTAGAGAGAATTTTGCTCTAAGTAGATATATGGTAAAATTTGAAGGGACTTCAATTCATTTGCAAAAAGGCCTCTGTACCATTTTAATGATCTAACAACTTGCTGGAAGCAGCTACATCTCTCATACGCATAACTCACACGGTACCTGGTGTGACTAATCAGGTGGAGACTGCTATCAGAAAAGACTACTGCAGGAGCCTAATGGTGAACTCCAGTTTCACACATATATTTGGGGAAAAAGATAAAGCTGATTTTCATTGGTTTTGGAAGAAGTCTTCTGTTTTGTTTTAGTTCTGTTCTTGTAATCAAGACTACAAGCAAACAAAGAGCAAAGCGAAAAATAATCACTTGTTGGTAGGCTTCCCCTTTTTTCCCTTGTCCTATTGTCTGGCAGGTACCAGAGGACCATCAGGGAAAACATGGAGTTTACTTATTTCACCTGACATTCAAGCTAAGCTGTGAGTAGTTCAAACTACACAATGCAAAGCCACGATTTGGCAAAGGAATAGTCAGCCTACGTCCTTACACTCACACGTCACCCCAAAGTCAATGGGACTGTGGATGCCCTTGCATCCACAATGTACATCAGTGACACGCCATTCAGTGGAATAAAACCATTCATGCCAGCTAGAAGCCAGTGCCCTTTTCAAGTGGGTGATCTTTCAGCAGGACATTTAAGAGGCCGAATTTCAGTAAAGCCATTTCCTATTTTCACCACTTGCTTACCTGTAAAACCTGCTCACCAGAACCTCGCTGGTGAATCCCATTCCTCCCCAAAACTGGAGACAGCTATCAGTCACTTCACGGGCCAGACGACCTGCCTTTAACTTAGCCATGGAAGCAAATTTTGTCACATCATTGCCTTCCACATAGAGAGCTAAAAAAAAAAAGAAATAAAAAAGCACACTTATACACACACAGTCACTGATCACATCCTGCCACTCTGGCAATCACCTCCCCATGTTCCTTTAGCCTGACAACGTTCTTTGCATAAAGAGAAGCACATCTGGGAAGGCAGATGTGGGAGCTCACCCACAGTGCGGTACAGCAGCGAGCGAAGGAGCTCCACTTCAGTTGCCAGCTCGGCCAGGCGGAAATGCACAGCTTGGTTGTGCAGGACGGACTGGTCAAACACCTTCCGCTGGCGAGTGTAGTCAATAGTTTCTTGTATTATAGTTTCCAGCGGTGTCAGGACTTGAAGAAGCAAAGCACAGAACAAGACATAATTTTAGCCAGATCTGTTGTTTTTCTTCTTGTCGAAAAAGATGTTTTTTCACATTGTACAGACAATACATTTGGTTTTCTAAAGTAAATTATTCCATATGCTCGGTTTGGGTGCAGTTTCAATTCTGAAAAATGCCTAGTATTTCCTTGTACCTTGAAGACCTCTTTATCCCTATTTCACCTGAGCCCCAACTACCAAAACTCAGAGGAGAATGAAGAGGGGCGGAGAGGAGGGAAGGAAAGTCATAGAATGCATTATGTAATGATGAGTATGTAAACTCAGGGCCCTACAAAAAGCTTGTGGCAACTCCTGCTTTCCATGCTGCCTGTTTCCTGAAGGTCTGTTACAATCCCAAAAGAAAATCTGAACGCAGACAGTATGCTCACTGCAAAATGCTGTAGAAATTCAAATTCAAGGAAGCGTTCAAGGAGAAGGCAGAAACATATTCAGAGATCAAGGAACACCAACAGATTGCTTATTACATCTGCATTCTGTGATCAGATCCCAGCACAGAAAGGAAGGGAAAAACATTAAGATTCACAGCCACTTTTAGTAAATGCTAAACAGTGTTTCTAATGGAAACAATCAAAATAGGATACTGCTGGAAGACGGGTGAGAAAGATGGCAGACACTGCTTTAAAGCAAGAGGAATAGTTCGCTGCTACTTTTTAAGCAAACTTAGAGATACCCTGTTTTAAACAAGAAGAAAAGGGAAAAGTTTCGTTGCCAAGGCAAACCAGCCTTGAAGTGAAGGGCTAGGCTACCAGTCTCTTGCAGCTCAGCTAGGATAATAGCAGGTGCTGAATTTGTGGAGAATTTCATTTGGCAAATGTGGGCCCATGCCACTATGGCAAGCAGTAGGGAGAGGGAGAGAGTTCACAAATCTATCTGTATGAGAAGGGTCACATTTTCTCTTTTCAAAATATGCATAACCACATCCATTCACTTTTAGAATCTAAATGACAAAACTCTGAATCTGAAATGCAAAATACAACCAAGCCCTGGACTACTACAAAATCCCTTTTCCCACCTGCCAGTTACTCGCATGACAGTGCCTTACAGGAGCCTGGTGTGCTGCCATATTCCTTTTTGCATCACTTTCAAGATCACCTCTATTTAAACGTCATCCCTATACTGCTCTCATATGCACTCTACATCCAACCAATTGCCCCCTGCCATGATCATTGACCAGTTCTTCTGCAGAGCACTCTTTTTCACATGCTGTCCCCACATTCCATAATGTGATCAACTTTTCTCATTCCTTAAATATTTTCCCCTCCTTTCTCAAACACTAGCCTCAATGCTTATTCTTCAAAAGAGCATATACAATAATGTCCTCATTTCTTCTGTGTTAATACACTATGCTGCCACCCTAATGCTGGTTTTCTGGACAGAAAAATAAATTGCTGTATTCAGGGACACCTCTTGCACAGAGGAACATGCCTATTCTTCCAAAGGACCATGAAACACAACACTGTAGCTTGTATAACACTAACAGCTTTTTCACTTGTATGTCTGTGGTCTCCAGCTTGAAAGATGCTAAAGAAACAGCAAGAAGTTCCTAGGGACCTCTGGTCCCTTGCCCCTGGACTAATACCTGGGAAGCATACAGCCGAGTCTGAGCTTCTGGGAGAGAAATTAAACAGTACATGACAGTGCTAGGAAGAGCAGAAGGGAGGTGGGAGGGATAAGGGCAAGGGTTAGTCTTGTGTTGGTCTGTCAGAGCAAGGTGCTCCAGCATGACTCATGTGGTACCCAGCATCCAACACCAAGGAAAGAAGAGACGGGAAACAGCAAAGAGGAGGCAGCAGGACTGCGTGGGAAAGAAGAGAACAGCACCTGTTTAGGTCTTGCTTGCAAAAGGGCTGAAGATCATGAAGGGGTTTTGGGCCATCTCTGCTCAGGCTGTCACCACACATCAGGGCAGGGAGTGGGGGACCTGAGAAAACTGCTCTCACAGTGTGTCCCTCTCTGCTTCACTGCCTCCTTCCTGCCCCAGCTGATCCACCCTCCTGTTTCCTTAGCTGCCATCACCGCCCTTCAGCTTATTCCTGGAACTGCCATTAGCACACAGAAATAAACAGAGGAAATCTTCTAAGGACAGTCCTGGGCTGCATCAAAAGAAGCGTGGCCACCACGTCAAAGGAGGTGATTCTGCCCCTCTACTCCGCGCTGGTGAGACCCCACCTGGAGTACGGCATCCAGCTCTGGAGCCCACAGTACAAAAAAGACACGGACCTGCTTGAGCAGGTCCAGAGGATGGCCACAAAAATGATCAGAGGGCTGGAGCACCTCTCCTATGAAGAAAGGCTGAGAGATTGGGGTTGTTCAGCCTGAAGAAGGGAAGGCTCTGGGAGGACCTTGCAGCAGCCTTTCAATATATAAAGGGGGCTTGAAAGAAAGATGGAGAGAGACTTTTTACCAGACCCTGTAGTAACATGACAAGGGGCATCGGTTTTAAACTGAAAGAGGGTAGGTTTAGATTGAACATAAGGAAGAATGTTTTGGGGTTGGAACTAGATGACTTTAAGGTCCCTTCCAACCCAAACTGTTCTATGATTCTAAGAAATTCTTTATGATGAGATGAGGGTGCTGAGGCACTGGAGCAGGTTGCCCAGAGGTGGTGGATGCCCCACAATTGGAAGTGTTTGAGATCAGACAAGACAGGGCTTTCAGCAACCTGATCTAGTGAAGTATGTCCCTGCCCATGGCAGGGGGATGGGACACGATGATCTTTAAAGGTCCCTTCCAACCCAAACCATTCTGTGATGCATAGCTAACACGGCAAAGCTTAGCTGTGCAGCAAACAGCAATGAAACGCAGGACATCATGAATACCATGACCGCCAACAGCCTTATACAACATAACAGCACACAATACTTGGTCAGTCATATAAGTACAGAGAAATGCCATTCTTAACAGTGAAACTCATCTTCTCTCTGAACTTTTTTTTTTTTCTCTCTGTATATTTGTTTCCTCTTTTGTCATTCAATGTTCTCCACATCCTCAGACAAACTTGGCCCCACGGGTTTCAACTGACAGCACGTGCAGGAAATGTCACTCTAGGGCAGCCTAAGGAACACACGGTCTACCACACAGCTGAGTATTGTGAAAGCACTTGAAGTTGCCAGATGCAGAATATAATCTTTTTCTCATACTTCCATCCAACTTACATTTTTCCACTTGAAACTTCTGCTCACTGTAAACACACTTTGCCTTGCTATGTCTCCTCTCAGAACAAAAGGAAGTTAATACATTTTTCCTAGGCTGTGGCTGATCACTCTCTAGTGAGATGTACAGTGAGCTCCAAGCCAAGCAATCTGTATCTTAAGGACACGCATTGCCCATGCAAAGGATCTGTCATCCTGCTTACTGGCCGTGACTCAATGGTGCTCATAAAACTGAGACTACAGGAGCAGATAGAAGTCATTAGAAAAGTGCCATTCTGCTCTCTCACACACACTGAACTCCCTTTTTACCTCCAAGTTAAGCAATTCACAAAAGAACCGTTTGCTTTCTTGCCATAGCAACATTCTTTTCCTGTGATCAGTGCAACAGGTCCACAAGTGGATGGCGTTTACCAAGTGTCACAACATGGGAGAGATACGTGGCAGCTCTTCTATTTCAATGAAGCAAGAAACACAGTGACTTTTACCGATGCCTTTGGTAACGTGTCACTTGGCACAAAAGACCACACCTGTGACCAGATTTTGCAATTCCAGGAAATTAGTTTTCCATTTATATTTTAAATCTGTTTGACTGAAAATTTGTTTTAAAAGAAAAAAAAAAAAAGAAAAGAAAAGGTAAAGAAGGAAGAAAACTCCCCACACATTCTGAAATCTAGCCACAAAAGAAAATAATTAATAAACAGAGAGAAGGCTGAAGCACATGGTACTTGATACTAAAAATAAATAAAAACTAAAACAAAACCCCCCAAACACAACAAAACAAAACAACACCCAAAAAGAAAAAAGAGAAAAGAATGGCATTCAACTGCCTCTTCAAGTTTTAGGAAGCAGTGAAGGCAAGGATACCAGGACTGGTCCCTAAAGTGTTTAAAAGCAGACTGATGATTTTCAATGTCACATAAATAGTCATGAACTGGGAAGGAACAGAAATGTCCTTCTGAGGGCCAGAAGTGAGGACTAGGGTTACACGTGCAGACCTAAGCACAAAACTACTGAAGGCACGTCCATAGTTTTGCACATCTGAGCCTTCAGCAAAACACTTGTGGTTGAACATAGGTAAAACCATTTGCAGGACTGGAAGTTAACAGCTAGATGTCGTGGTGTAACAATCCGCATCCACCAAGCACCTGGCTCCCTTCTGAGCATCGGTTACTCTTTTTTCTTGTTTACCACTACTGGTTACCTCTGAAGTTTGCAACTTGGCCCAAACCATGGGTCTCGCCCCTGCTCCCAGTGCTTTTGTGCATTTTATATCAGATAGTGGACAAAAGCAAAACCAGGGGGCTTAGCAAGGTATAACACACTGGCCACCACGCTGCAGGAGGCAGCTCCCGCTCCCTTGGTGAGCTCAAGGCTCTTCCTCCCTGATGGCCCCTGCCTGGCCATGGCGGGGGAGCGAAGATGCCCTTCCCAGACCGCTCATCCAGGGTGAGGGCTCGCCTGCTCCTGCTGTGTTGGTTCTGGGCAAAAAGAAGAATTGAAACCTGGTGTCCGACTTCCTGGCAGAGCACGGTGACTGCCAGGCGGTTGTGCAAGGCTGGACAGTACCAAGCTGCCAGTGGTTTTAACAGGAGTGATCTAACCTGCCAGGCTTTGTGTTTTGATGCTGTCAGTGCGCGTCACTTTTGCCTGGGGCATGACTAATGTCGTGGGCTACTCTGCTGCCTGAGGAGTATCGCTGCAACCCAGAGTTTCTGATTGTTTTGTTTAACTTAGACTTCAAACCGAGCATAAAAAAGTACAATGCATGTCCTTGCAGTCTGCGTACATCCCGAATAAAACAGGACCAGCAGTAGGACCATGTCTCCTCTTTGTCCGAGTCTGCCGTGGCACCCCTTGCAAGTGTAACCTCCTGCTCTTTGCTAAAACTACTCTCACTTTTACTGTTTATCTCAGGCTGAACTAAGAATTTTAGCCCAAACCAAAGATTTTTGTAAAGCTTTTGAACTCTAAAATATTTAGTCTGGGATCAACCCACAACAGGGAGTGATTTTTTTATTTGCTCACTTAATCAGAAAATCCCTTCTTAGAGTACCTGATTCCCCAGCCACATACAGACAGCAACAGACGGGGTATGCACAGGAGCACAAATATGGTGAGATTATTTATACAACCCTGAAACTTAAAGAGGACCAATCTTCTCACAGTGAACCACTTTATATTTAAGTTGAAGAAGCAAACACTGTGGGGTGGGGGGGAAGGTTAGGACGCTGAAAATGGACAATCCAGACTTGGATGTGGTTACCTGGAATATCCAGAATCCATGTTACTCAAATATATGGATTTGAGTACGGCTTGAGTTCAGAGTAACAGGAACTCTGTGACAGCATAACTTCAGGGAAAGGAATTTGGTGCTGTACCACTTATGTCCAAAATTTATGGAGGTAAAACAGAACTGCAAAACAAAGCTCTTACATCCTGTAAGAGCCACTTCTTTACACAGCCACTAAGTTAATTTTCTAAAATCCAGGATAAACATTATAGCTTATTGTGCTACAGGAAAAATCACTGTCCTTCTATTTTGTGCCAGTATTTTGATAGCCTTTGTGCTATATTTGTAGCAGACATAACACGATACCATATTTTCTTATCAGCAGAAAAGCACCAAGAAAAAGAAACAAGGCAAACCCAGCCTCTGTGATGCCTCATAAAATATTTTCTATTTCAAGTTTTCCTACAGAAAGGGAAGGTTGTCTGCATCCAGGCTATGACAGATTTCAGAAACAGACTGTAAGAGGTTTTGGAATTTACAATAAAAGGAAAGTGCTGTTAGTCATGCAAAGGGTGACCCGTGTCCCTGCCTGGCTCCAGAATCACAAATTATGACTTACCAGTGGCTACTCCCCACAGCCGCTCTTCTTGGAATTGCAACATCTGATACGTAAAACCCTTTCCTTCCTCACCGATGAGGTTTTTGCTGGGGACCCTTACGTCTTCAAAAAAGATCTGAGCTGTGTCCGATGACCTCATGCCCAGTTTGTCTATCTTTTTAGCAACATGAATGCCTGAAGAAAAAAGGGTATTAGAAAGGTCACAAAAAATAGGAGCACTATGTACAAGTACAGCATTTTAAGAAAGCGAAGTTTACAGATGTGAAGGTATGTGCCGAGACTACAGTGAAACCTACCTTTAGGAAAAAAACCCAACAGTATTCTGGAATTTAAGAGCAAAATGGCCCACATTGTATTTTTAAGACTTTTTCCATTTTATTTAACCAGCAAATCAGAAACTGTAATTGTAAAAGTCCCACTTTTCATTATGTCCCCAAATAATAATTGTTTACTAGTAGTAATAATCTTACTTCATGCACATCTTGAAACAATGCAATATTTATTTGCTTATGTTTCATTTTTAGTGCACTATAATAAAATGCTGGAATTCAATTTAGCAGTATTTGCTGAGTACCTGCACTGCTGTGAAACAGTAGAGAAATAATGACAAAAACAGAGCTATGTTTTAAGGTGCAACTAGAGAATTTCTCCTCCTGGAAATCCTCTTCCTTCCCTCTCTTCCACATTTATCCTCTCCTTTCTAGCCTATCCTGATTTTTTCTGGTACATGTAGGAGACAAAGTTTATAATCACACCACACCACTTTTTCCTAATAGTAAAAAATTAGACTCAAATTCATAACTGCTACAAACATCCAACAATTCCATATCAACTCCAAATTTTGTTAAAACTATGTATTTTATGATGGCCTACACAATACTGTTTAGTTCATCTAAGTAGTCATAGAAGGGTTCATAATGATCTCAATTCATTCCTCTGAGTTTTCATGTGGACATGCTTGTGAAGAGGGTTTACTTCCCCACAGACCTCTCTTACACAGCACTGACTCTGATCCCACATGCAATGGTCTATTAGAGATGAACCCAGTTCCTTCAGGTTTGGCCACATAGGATTTCAGCAACCTAGTCGCATCAGGTAGGACTCCTTCCTGTTTTTGTTTTTTCCTAGCTACACGTTCCTTCTTGCTATTGTTCAGATACAAGCGTGGCCTACCACTGTGCCATGAGAATTTAACAGACATCCACTGATTTTTTTGTGGCAATTCCCTTGTTTTCAGTTTTTACCTCCTTGTTGCTCTGGGGCTAATGCGAACATTTGGGGTGGAAGTCAAGAATGTTTCGGAGGTAAACTGAGGCCAACAACCAGGTATGAGGATTTGTGCAAAACATACTGATTACATCTGCCAAGTCAATATACATAGAAAAACAGTCCTCCAAATCAGCATATATGCCTTTGCAGAAAACCAAACATTTTACTACCCACATACATAGTACTCTAACCAGTTTTGCAATGAGGAGGTATTCTGGTAATATTTTCCTCTTTATTATATTTTTTTTTTCCAATCCTCTACTATTCTCTAACACGGCTTAGTAGGACTTGGTCACCGCACAAATTGTTGTGGTCCCTCTCTGTACTTGTTTGTACCTTGCTCCCCTTCATGGCTTTCGGTGAACATCTCTTTCTGAACTAATATAGATGCCTCAACTTCTACCAACAGGAGGCCTTCAGCCATGTGAAAATTACTTTGGTTTTGCAGGCAGAAGAAGTTGGCAGTCATCCCCTTCAAATTCACTCCCTCTGGCTGCATTGAATAAGGTTATGGAAAGTTTCATCTCTCCACAGAGATGAAATACTGACACTATTTCCAAATGCCAAGACTGCTCTCAGAATAAGGTCCACATAGACCTCCACACCTTGTACTCAAGACTTTTCTCCACCAGCCAATCTCTAAACAGATTATGTGTTAGGAATACTTGCTTTGATATGTGTTCAATGCAGGAAGAAAATCAGGACAGCTGTATAAAAATTTTTTGACTCTTGGATAGAAAATTATCCAGCAATTTGCACCCAGTCATGCCAAAAAAGCATTTGTCATTTGTTTCTGTATTAAAATCAGAGCTAAACAAACACACACACTGAACCATTTACAGGCCCAAATGATTTCTGGAACATCTTTTCCTGTTGGAATATTGCAGCTTGGTTTCTTTGAGAGTCTCGGAGATCATGTCTTCAGACTACTTCCAGCTGGTTTTATGCAATCACTGCTCCTCACCCATATGAAAATGCACTTACTGCTCGTTAGTGCGTGGTTTACTAAGGACTCTGCTGGAAAAAGTACAACGGCCGCCAGTTCTTTCTATTGCTAAATCAATCCTGTTGTGTATTTCCCCAGATCCACACAAAACAACAACTATTGAAGAAAGCTCTTACAGGTTTGGTTAGAGGAGCTACATGTGTTACCCACACTTTTTCCAGATTGGGTTGTGTGTTTAAGTTTCCTGAATCCAGCAGCATCCCCGCTTTGTTGTGCCTTACCAGTTTCACTCGCTCTTAGATTAATTCATGTTTCTCACTCAGAAGGAGGCAAAACTGCATCAGCCTCATGTAGTGCCTTCTTTGCTGCTAGCACATACTTTACATTTCCTCTTTTTTGAAGACAATGATACATAATCATCCCTTTGGCTACAATATGGGCATCAAAATCTTCCTTTACTTAGTTTAATTATCTTCATTTTCTTCATAAGGGGTACTGTATACTAAAAAATACCAGCAGCAGTAGAAATCATCTGCCCAGGTAACTCCTGGAGTTTGTCTGTATTAAATAAACCACAAGCCATCCAATAAAACACAAATCTCAATCCAGCATGGCCAAGTCCCTGACTTACTAAAAATCACTCTAACAGAGCCATTTGTGCTATCTGCACCAGTATCACTGAGAGAGATTGCTGTACCTCTTCCTGGGCAGTTCTTCCCAAGTATCTTTGATTTTTCATTTTCCCCCGCTCCTCCAGCTTTCTGACAATGTCTTTTATTTCCTATATTCTATCTTGAGAGAAAGGCAGTCACTCTCCCCTGACACCATTTAGTGCCATTACAAATGGAAAGAAGCACATTTTAAACTGCAGCCTGAGAAACATGCTCTCTTCCCCTTTCCTGGATGCTCTTCACTTTATTATCTCCTCCTTGCAATCTACCCTAGTGCTATCTGAGGACTCGGAGGACAAACCAGCGCACAAATAGTTACCAGATTAGGGCTGCAAGCCCTTTGTCTATATATCTTGCACATAGACATTTTACGACTTGTTAGATTCTCTTTCATCATATGAGAAATTCAGCTTTTTTTTTAAGACATCATTAGCATGAGGACTATTCACCTAATTTGGATATCTACTATGAATCCACACTGCCGTTATCCAAATTCCCTTTACGAGAAATCTACTCAACAGTGTCAAATCTAGACCATGTTTTGCTTCACCCCAGGACACCGTACACACCTAAAATTAGAAGAAGCAAATCCTACTTCATGTCTCCAATAAACTACCAGTTGTAGTTAATAACATGCTTTCAGACTTGGAACTTTTTTTTTTATCACCACATTATACAAGTACAAACCAATATTTTCATGAAAAATGCTGGACTAGTCTCCCATGTCCTTCCAGCTGCTAGTAAGGAATGAGTTACTGCTGCGCCCTGGATCCCTTCCTTACCCTGCCATATAGGCTGGTGACTGCAGCAGTAAAGTCAGACATAACACACTCATTCTCCATTGCACTTGTTCTTGAGCTTTGACACACGTACATCTACAGACGCTTGACAGTGCATCATTCAGCGACGTCCTCCAGACGCTTCCTGTACAGTCTCTGTCTGCTGCCCTCCAAGGAGCACAATCTCTGGCAGACAGACATCCTTAGGATGTATCAAACCAGCTGGAGCTTCCTCCTCACATCTGTGTCAAAAGGCAGCCTTTTCCATACTTTTCCTCTTTGTCTTCCTGAGAAATTTCACTTCTGATTTGACCCACCCATTGAGCACAATCAACCATCTTAATACGTCATTTCAAAAGGTCACCCATCTTGGTACAGTGACCATTTTGGAGGTCAGTATCTGTACCACACAGAAGAATGGAAGCATATACACTTTGCAGAGTTAAATCTTTGTTTCTAGGAAGACTTCTACACTTCTGCAGGTCAGCTTCAGGAGATTCAGGCAATTTTTCTACTCAAAATCCTTTTACTGCAGGTAAAGAAGGTCTGTGTATAGGCTGTGTGACCTAACGACACCCCTCCTAAAGCTACAATGACTCACCTGTCTTTTTGGAATAAGCAAAGTAGCTGAAAACCTCTAAGTCGATTCCTACATATTCAATCTGCCTCTAAACAGTGGGTTGGCCTACTTTGTCATTTTTGGAAAACTGATCTCGGAGAAGTAATATTGCATTTGCGCTCTGAACCTTTCATGAAAAATCACAAGGAGGACTTCATGCAGATGGCTGAAAAGTGAATTTACCTGGAAGTTCAGGGAGATTCTGGCTCTGAGTTACATGTTCGCTCATCACTTATCAATAAGGACAAAGTCAACAACTAGTGAAGCAGCTCAGGTCCACCTTCTGTGAGCTTCCATTCAAAGCCCGTCTTGCATGAGCAGAGGTTGCAGAAACTCACAACGCACTCAGAACTTGCTTAATTCCCAGGGCAACTCACTTACTTGCTTGACTTATTCCATACTGAAATTCACTTACAAGACTTTCCCTTAAGTAGCTCTCATCACGCTCTTTTGCAACATTGGAGACCTGGGTTTTGTTCTCAGTCTGACCCATTAAGTGAACATATGGACCTTCACTTCACTGCCATGGTGGTGTCCCTATGTGTGAAATGCTGATAATGACATATATTTTGTATGTAAAATACTCCAAATTGAATGAATAAAAATATTTTCTATTAATATATAATTACATTAATATACATTATTATATATTAAATAGATACTATATATTTAAAATGTGTTAAAATAGATTATATATTATTTATTAAATAACTTAATATATTACATAATTTTTTAAATATTAAGAGTGAAAACCAAAAAAGTTTAAAAACTTTTGAACAGGCGTTAAAACTGCAAAAGATCCTTGCCGACATAACTTTGACTGTATCCTCTCTGAATGATGTCCTTTATGCATACAGCACATTAGTCTGCAGACCTTGCAGCAGTACTCAGGAACAGACACCATGTGGACTGTACCACTGAAACTTGTACCCTTAGATCAGGATGTATTTCTTCAGTGCCTTCACCCAAATTACTAGTTGTCTTCAAAAACAAATCCCTGCTTCCAAGATCTTTGAAACTTTCACTCCAGCCCACATTTAACTCACAGACTCTTCTTGTAATTTAAACTGATAGCAATAGTAGCGCCCTGGCAAAAACATCCCTTTGCGGAGCACAGCCATGAAGCACCCTGGGTATGCCTGCACTTCTCTTCAGCAAGCCCACCAGGTTGGGCGGTGGAGGATGGTTATCGGAGGAAGATAGGACCATCCACACAATACAATCACAGCACAACATTGCATCCTTCTAGTATTCAATACAGCTGGTCAGTAAACCCATCCTAACGGAGTCAGACACTGCCCATGGGCTCCTGAGAGGCAGGTGTTGGCATGTGGGATAAGATAGTTTTGGCAGGTATTTCCCAAGTTTGAAATCTCTAAACTCTATCTTTCTATTTTCACATGTTTGAGAATCACTTTCAATATTTTCTGAAGAAATAAGACAGCAAGCTTAAAAATACTTCTCCATTCATTGAAAAAAGAAGTATATATTCTGCTCCCCAGTCCTCATACAAAACAGGAAAGAGTTTAATGCTATTTTGGAAAGATAATTTAAGAACATTTTATATATAGTTCATATGTAGCAAAGATCTATGTAAATAGGGTAATATGTTATTTATTTTGTGTACTGTTTGTGTCTTCATGCCTTTTGGGGACAGAAAACCAAGATAAAAGTTTTGTGGAACTTCTCCAAAACTGAAAGACACTGGATGTTATAACTTTAAAAAAAAATGTTGGCCTTATTTTTAATTATATCTTTGAGGCATTAATTTTGTCCTTGGCTTTGACTTGTCTATTCATTCTCACAGAAGGTTATGAAATATTCCCATGCAAATGTATCTGAACAACTTTTATAAATTTATTTTTGGTGAAAAGGACTTTTCACATAAAATTATTTGGGAGTCACAAGCTGAAGTCTGCAAAATATTTAACTTCCTTCTTGTTTCCTCTTGTCCCTTACTTTTTTGTGGAAGTCTGCAAATGCATTTCAGAATCAACTTTGTATGACAGTGAAACACCTAACTTAGAAGAGTGTTTATGGGTGCAGTCCCTTCTGTCAAACACCTTTCCTTCTTGTACCGGGCATACACAAAACCACCAATGAAAACAAATTAGAAGACAAAGAGTTCTGTGTTATTACCAGGTAGATTCATTGGCAGACATATGAGAGATTTATTTCGATGGGGAGGTCCTTCACTGGTGTTTGCCAGCAGGCACATCCAGTCTGCTTGACACCCTGACGTAGTCCACATCTTACCGCCATTTATGACATATTCATCGCCTTTTCTCACAGCTGTCGTCTTGATATCTATTTCAAAACATAGGAAATGAAGGGTTATTCTTCTGAAGAGTAAGCTGGTCCCTGTATGACTGGTAGAGTCACTTCCTTGCTCTCAGACAGACAACTAATATTTGGTTCTCCCTTCATACCCCAGAAGTCCTCTAATCCTTCCAGGCTGCACAAGGCAGACCCATCTGGACAACCCTTGGAAGGCAAGCGAGGGAAACCAGACCGCTTCTCTCACCCTCTTCATTCCAGTGGATGAAAGCAGAAAACTTTCCCTAAGCAAATTTCGTCGTCAGAAACGGGCCAGAAACATTTCAGTCTGAGGTGATCCGTTACATGTTTCTGTTACTATGCACGTTAGTCACTCAGAATGCCATTAATTTCACAGTCCTGACTTAAACAAACATAAGCGTCAGTATCTGTGTGTGCATAAAGATATACATACACGCACTTCCTGCATGTTCTTGGTCAGAATGGCGTAATAAATTCAAAGCTAGTAAACTTTCAAAAGGCCAAGTCTAAATGCTAAGAATGTCTGTACATGAAGGAGTTCTGAACACCTGTTATTTATACCCCCTGGCAAAAAACAATCTTATTTTAATCCGTGAGTATTCACATCACACTGCAAGTAGCCCTAGCTGCAACAGACAGCTGGAGTGAATCAGTAGTTATTATTTACACTCCAGCAGAATTTCTAAAGGACTGGCTTCTTTCCTCTGCAATTGAACTTCCTCAACTAAAACCCCAAGTGAAGAAGACTCTTCAGCAGATACCTAGCTATAAGTAGGTGATGGTATAAGAGAACCCTACGACCCCCCTAATAGCATCTGTAAATCTAATGAGACTATAAAGTCTGTAAGAGCCCACCTACTGAGGGAGGGAGTAGACTTGGAGGGTAGAGGAGTCAGATACCAAGTAGAGTGGGCAGGCATATTTAAGTCAGCTGGTTATATCTTCATACACACCCACCTCAATCTGCACACGAACCTTCTTCCCAAAGGCTCTAAATATAAAACAAAGCAAAACCAAGTATCTGATCTTCATTTACAAGATAAACTGGGACTGAGGTCAGCATGGCTGAAAAGAAGTCTGTTTGATGAAGCAACTGGGGAAAAATGATGGGAGAAAATTGTATAAGGTATAAGACAAGGGAATGTTGGATATAGCTATGGCTAAAGGAACTTACATGCAGATAATGATGAATGGCAAGGGAAAGAGATAGTACTACTGTGGATAAACACAGTGGCCATATAGCTAGTCAGTCAATGAAAGGACTATGCCAAATCTGTCCAAGGGACTTGATATGAAATCTGTGTAATAATGAAGGCCAACAAACTGAAGGAATCTAAAGTACTGATACTCATAATACACTGGACAATCTCATGTACATGGAGACTAAATAATAAATAAAGGACACACAAGAATAAGAAATACGACACTGTACTGAAGTAGTGTGAAAAGGATGGGAGCATACGCAGTGATTTACATCACACATCCCTTTGTTGTGGAACAGCTACTAAAGAGATTAGATAGAGGTCCCATGGAAGGTCTGCAGAGGAACAATGAGCACTATGATGTTATCACAAACGTAAACAGTTCTTGCAAGCATGGCACCACAGGGGACTAACCACCCAAATACAGATTAAAGAAAAAATGCCTTACTAATGGGAATGTTCAAGTACTTCCCCATGTGCTGGTTGTCTGTTTGCTTCAAACACTTGAGAAACAACTATTTAAAATCAACTTAATAAGAGTTGATTCTCTTTAACTGTAATTAGAAGAAAGATGATCAAGTCAGTAAGTAAGTTTTATGTTCAAAATACAGCAGGCTTTGAAAACCTACTTAACAATTTACTAAAGTCAAGTGGACTCAGTGTCAGCGATATGGCTATGAAAATAATTTGAAATATTTTACTGTAATTATTCTCCTTGATAGAGCATAGCTCTGGGAAATGGCTACTTCAGTGAGTGCTCCATAACTCATTTTTGGCAGGTCCATACCACTGTCCCTGTAGTGCCTATAACTCAACAACTTACAGAGCATGCTGTGAGGGCCCCTTCTAGGAAAGACCACAATGCATCATTGAAAGGCATATGCTACAGCTAGTGCCATATAAGGAATCAGGGCTGGTCACTTCACCGTTCAAATCACAACATACTTGAGCCTCAAGTTTTCTTCTCCACTGTGCTCTTGAGTCCAGCCATGCACCTAAGTAGATTTGACAAAAGGCAAGATTGGCTTCAACTTTTAAGGTCAATACTATGATCAAAGACAGGCAATGCATATCCTTAAAGTAAAAAACAAAGAACGCATATATGGAATTTACATCATCAGCACAGGAAAAAAAAAAAACAACACCAAACTTGCATGAAGTAGCTTCAATTCTAACTGAATGAATAATCACTTCAAAAAAACAGGAGATGGCCTAAGGAAAGGAAAGAGATTAATCATCAAAGTAAGCTACAGTTTGGAGGTCAGAAGGTAAGAACTGCCACAGGTCAAACTAAGTTAAATCTTGCAGATGAAAACCAACAAAACTGAAGAAGGTTGAGGCGGCAAACAAAAATGTTTCAGCCACAGAAATGAAAAGGGAATGAGAAAAAACATGAGGCATATAGAGGACGCGTCAAAACTACAGAAATATTTCACAGGAGATTACAAAAAGATTCACAATATAGCTGACAAAGCAAGACATCTACAGGAATGACTGTACAGAAATTAAAATTAGTGAAAACAGCGGTTGTTGGTTTTGGCAATCTGCACAGCCTCAGAATACATTTGGAAAGAAAAGATAATTCAATTTACCAGTGGTATCTTATTTAAAACCAACTTGATTTATTTATTACGAAAATGGATTTTCTAGAGAAAAGCAGAACAAGAAAAATGCTGTTGGACCCAAGCAAACTAAAAATGATGCTAGCAGGTAACTATGAGTTAAAATTTTGAAAAGATAAGAATAAGGACAAAAGTGGAAATGTGGGTTAGGAACCTGGCAAAGGGAAATTGCATCAGGTTGCTTTAAAAGAGGAAGTCCTGACATGCCGGGAGGGTACTATTGGAGCTGCCCTTTGGATATCAGCCTTTGGACAAAACCTATTGAGTTTTTCCATTAATGATCTTTAAAATAAGAGTAAGAATACACTAATGAAATTTGCTGGTGACACAAACTTGGGAGACATCACCAACACAGATAACTGAGGTATCGCTCAGCAAGAAAGGAATGATCTTGAGATTTCAAATTCAACATGGCAAGTACAAGTACCTAGGCACAAAGTAATGACTGCAGTATCTTAGAATGTTTCAGCAGCAAACCACTAAAGAAGATGATCTGCATAGTTAATCACAAGATTCACAAGCCAGCAAACTGTTGTGTAACGTTACATATCAGAGGGTAATATTTCTATTACAGTTGGAGAAGTATTTGTACTGTTATAGACGCCATGTGCAATTTTGGTTTTTTGTGCTCAAAAAAGATGACCTAAACCCAGAAAAGCAGAAAGATTGGAATCCACTGAGACAAAATGGGGCAAGATATCTATGTTGAAGAGGTAGATATGAACAGGGTTACTTGGTGCAGTTGCCTGGAAAACATAACTTGAAGAAAGAGGAAGTGTCTTCCATGATGTGTTCTTACATATCCCCCCCAGACTATCAGCAAAACATTATATAAATTGCGGCATACTACTGAGATAGAATGAGCTAAAATCATTAAACCCAACACAAATGTGTATGCTTTGTGGTACCAAGAATCCTGAAATTAAAGACAGACTCTTTCTATACCAACTGGTCCGTCCTGTTCTGCTTCTCAAGTCACCTCTGCTAGTTTCGTTGTGCGTGGTCAATACTATGTACAATGTACAATGTACAACAACTACATTTGAAAGCAGACGGGTGCTCCTTCAAATTGACTTGAAATTTTTATTAGACTAATATACACAGTCCTTTTTGTTCTGTTAAATTTTGAATAAATTAATTCCAGGCACCTTACACTTCTCATGTAGAGAAACACTTCTTTTTTTTTCCTATGTTCACACCACCTTCAGAAATTTTGGAACTGGCAGAAGAAAATGCTAGATACACCTTATGCTGTGTCATTCTTCAGTTTAAAATATACTGGCTGACATGGCAGAAGCACGTCCCCAACCTTCACATGTGAACAGTTCCTGTGCTTTACTACCGCTTCACTTATTTGAGACAAACATCCCAATAGCATAAGAAACCAAAGGAAGTATCAAGTACAGTTTCATGCAGTTCAGTCCACTTTAAAGCTGGGCCACCTGGAGATGCGTTCTCTCTGCCTCGTGCAAACCAGTGCTACTCAGAATATAAGCTAGTGCTGCTCATGCCTAAGTTGTCCATTTAATTATCCTTTAGAAGCACTGTAAGCTGGTTTCTAGATTTATACCAGGGATCAGATCTTCCATGACAGGTGAAAAAGTATCATCATTTCATCCTGCAGTCTGCCTCCCAGCTGCACTCTGGGCTCATCAGATAATCCTAGTTGATTCCAAATTTCTCTTTAACTGTATTAATCCAAGTGTATCATACCAATTAAACTAGATGATAAACAACATGCAGCTAGAAGAATATTTATGTTACTTATTATCTGGAACAGTGCATCAAAAAATTAAAATCATATTTAGAAAGTTCTAATAATCATCTAATTAAACTTGAGAGGCATTAATTAAAATAAATTATGTTGTATTTCCTACATTAGCAACATTCAAATTTCAAATTATTTTAATGAAAAACAAGTCTATAAAAATTATGGAATTTTTCATTTGAACAAAATCAATTAACTAGAAAAGAAAACAGCAATGGATCATGCAGGAAGAGTTACTCTCATTGTTTCTTTATCCCCATTAACTCTCTTGAAAGCTACCTGCTGCACCCTTGCTCTAACACTGAATAATTATCTATTTATCTTGAGAAAACCATGAGTTTGGTCAAGGAGATGGACATAGGACTCTGCTGATCAAAAAACTTCTGTTGAACTTGGCAATTTTGTCTGTAGGAAGATGTTGTCCAGTAATTTGTAAGAGCACAATGTGTTCAACCTAGCCATCCTGCACCCAACAACAAAACCCCTAAAAGTGGTGTCTTGTCATTCCCTTTTCCTTGAAGTCCACGATTCAGAGTCAGATGAGATATCTTCTACTTTTTCTACAATATCTGTTTTAACTTAATTGTTCAAATTATCTACTGCCTCAGGCACTTCAGAATAATAGTTTCATTCGTCCATGATTTTAAACATATCCTCGCACTAAACCAAGAAAAATAGTTGCATGCAAAGTAACTACATCACAGAGCTAATAGATATACATGGCAAATTCTTCATTAGCTCTAACTAGAACAATCACCAGTTCATTTTTGCTGCACAGGAACAATGCAAGGGGCTGAGGTGAGGTAAGAATGAGCGAGAGGAACCCATTGTGGAAGTGATGCCATCATTGTCAGAACAGACTAGCTCTGCAATTTGCCCACGTTCAGTGGAGAGGTCTGTTTTAAGGAAGTGCAAGTTTTAGTACAGTTGAACAGGCCACATCCCCTATCATGTACGTCTGCAGGTTTGCACAACTGACAGTGGCTGTGCAACTACAGGAGGTACAGGAGTGCTCCTTGCCAGTGGTGAGCTCAGGAGCACAGGAGGCAGCAGCAGGACAAACATCAGGAGAAATCCAGGGCCAGCATGACAGCTGCATATTAATCTGTTGTGCTCAGCCTATACAGGGTTACAGCTATTGATTCACTGACAAATCCATTCAATTTGACTGCTTTTGGATGCGTCAGAGGCATGCTTTACTGCCCCTGGAAGATTACTTTTTGCCCTTACCACATGAGACTTTCCTTCCTTTGTATTTCTTACAAATGATAGTAGCAAAGGGAAGGGTCAGGGAAACCAGATTCTTTCCACTAAAATACCAGGCTATCTAAAATTGGCGATTTGCTAGGTTAACTTACTTGCAACATCCGACCCAGCTCCAGCTTCGCTGATTCCCAAGCAAGCCACAAAATCTCCAGCTATAGTTGGTACAAGGAACTGTTTTTTCAACTCATCAGAACCAAACCTGCAACAATATAATGAAAAAGATAGGCTATTAAAAGCTTTTGAAGGTAACCTTTATTTACAAGTTAGTTACAACTTTTGTTCTACCCACACAGTGATCAGTTTTCCTATGACTAGGTAAAACCTGTCCCAGAGCCAAAAGGCAGAATAGATACCCTCCAAAGCTATGATTCAGAGCCTTCACCAGAAGTGCAGCCATAATCATTTTAACAAGCATCGTGGTTTAACGCCAGCCAGCAACAAAGCACCACTAAGACGCTCACTCACTCCTCTCCCCCTCGGCCCTTGTGGGATGAAACAGAGAAAATAGCAAGAAATGCTCGTGGGTCAAGACAAGGACAGGGAGAGATCATTCACCACTTATGGTCATGGGCAAAAGAGACTCAACTTGGGGAAAAAAAAATATTAATTTGCTACAGATCAAATCAAAACAAGGATAATGAGATGTAAACCCAAACCTTAGAACACCTTCCCCCCACCCCTCCCTCCTTCCTGGCTCAACCCCACTCCCGGTTCTCTCTGCCTCTTCCCCCCAGCAGCGCAGGGGGACGGGGAATGGGGTTTACAGTCAGTTCATCACACGTTGTCTCTGCTGCTCCGTCCTCCTCAGGAGGAGGGCTCCTCACTCTTCCCCTGCTCCAGCGTGGGGTCCCTCCCACGGGAGACAGTCCTCCACGAACTTCTCCAACGTGGGTCCTTCCCACGGGCTGCAGTCCTTCAGTCACAGACTGTTCCAGCGCAGGCTTTCCCATGGAGTCACGGCCATCTTTGGGGACATCCAACTGCTCTGGTGTGGGGTCCTCCACGGGCTGCGGGTGGGCATCTGCTCCCCCGCTCGCCTCCAAGGACGGGCTGCTATCTCACAATGGGCTACAGGGGCATCCGCTCCTCCGGCGCACCTCCTCCCCCTCCTTCCTCACTGACCTTGGTGTCTGCAGAGGGGTTTCTCTCACATTCCAACCTCCTTCTCCGCTGCTGGTTTCCCTTCTTAAATCTGTTCTTCCAGAGGCACTATCACGGTTGCTGATGGGCTCAGCCTGGGCCAGCGGCAGGTCCGACTTGGAGCTGGGGAAGCTTCCAGCAGCTTCTCACAGGAGCCACCCCTGCAGCCCCTCCCCCACTACCAAAGCCCCCAAACACGGCTTTTACAAGTATTCAGGCATCGTACTCCCACAGAAACGTGTGGTCTAGATGCCCCAAATCTGATCTTTATGACTGTTGTTTTGAGAGCTATCAGATCCAAACAAACATAGTCCCTGGGGTTTCCCCTCAGTGCTCCTGCACCAGTCCGCAGTCAGCCAGGATGGAGGACCTGCTGTCTGTATATCTTCTGACTTTTGCACCAGCTCTTTGCCAGGTTTTAGTGGTGACTGAAAAGTTATGACATGTGATGGCCACCCTCTGCAAATATCTGTATTCATGTTGTTAATATTTCACATCTGCATTTAAATCACACAGTGAAATCCTTTAGTGCTTCTTCCCAGCCATTCTTTTAGTCCCCACAAAAATAAAAAGGGAAACAGCAAACTGTTGATGGCATTTCAACACAAAAAAATTCACTTGGCCATATTTCAATTCAGTTAAGAGGCACCCTCTTTTTTTCCAACGTTTAGGTGCTTTCATTGATTCAAAACACGGTCCACCTCATTTCATGGTTGATTTTGTCCTAATTAACATTCACTGATGTGGTCTTTCAGCATGAATGGTGAGCTCATGGTCTAGTTCTTGAAACTCTCTTGTGCTAGACTAAAAAATTCCTCGGGTCATGAGATGTCTCTTCTGTGAGCAGAAATCCATAAAAGTCACGTTCCTCCTCAGTCTCCTCTTTGGTATGAGACTTCTCAGGTCAGCATCTCCACTCATCTTAGGCTCGCTGGCTGCCAAAGCAGGCTGCAGTTACCTGGGCCCTCCTAAAACAATGTCCCAGTACTTCCAAAGGAGGGATGCCATTTTAGCTAAGACTCCTTCTTCTCCACTCCAACCCTGACACAAAACAGTCAAAGGAATGGGACGGCCAGAGAACAGAGTGGGAGCTGGCAGACACTTTCACTTCGTGCACACAGGGAGCTCAATTCCTAGTCCTGTCCCCGCTGATAATCGTGGCAGCAATCCCAAACAAATACAAGAAGCCAGCTTGGAGTGTTTATTCCTTCCTCCAGCATACTGGGACAAAGTCCCCTGCTCTGTTATGCAATGTACTTTTTTTTTTTCCTTTCCTTGGGACATGATCTAGTATGGCCAGCTGAACATTCATTAAACAAAAAAACCCCAATCAACAACATGAAAAATCAGATTATGAGAGGAGCTAGCAGACATTTTTGGCAATGCTTTCTGATGCTTAAAACTTTGCCAACCTTTAGTCATTTCAACAGAGGATTTCCATGACAAGAACTTCTCTCAGAGTAATGTTTTTGGTTTGATATCTTTGTTTGGTTGAAGTTCCAGAAAACGGTTCAGCTCTTCCCAAAAATGAGGCTACAGAAGAAGTTATTTTGCAATTAAAAAAACAGTCTGGCAACACTATCTTCAGAAGATCATGGGTCTCCATGCCTTGCAAGAAGGACACGCAGCTCAGCAAGCAACTAGCTATTGTGTTAGAAATACGTTGTTTCTGTAAAATTCTACCTATTTTAAATGTATCCCAGCAAAATCTTGGGTTTGCATAAATGCAATACCCACATCTTTCCAGTTTAACAGCTCCAGAATTAGAAAACTCCGCAATGAGATCATAGTCTGGTCGTCTGTCTTGAGCCAGAGCATGTCTGTTTTCTGGGCTGGGGCCATACCCCAGAGCATAGTTTCCCATGTGATTAACTGTGCAGCCTTAGCATTGCTCTAAAATATATTTTCATGCATGTGTGTATGTATACACATACACATGAGTCTACAGTCAATAAACTGTTGACACTGGGTAACCAAGAATTCTCAAGTGTGAGATTCTGACACGTGAAGAGTTGCATGAAAGTGGTCCACCCTTTCTTGCTCCGCAATTTATAAATAACATTGGTGGAATGTCATTAATACAAACACAAAAATGACAACGGTATACAATCTTTTAAATGGTGGGTAAGATGAAAATAAAACCATGGCAAAATACAGATGTAAGAACACTTCCTTGATCCACATAGTTCTGTTTATGTGCTCTGCCAATTAGAAATTTGAAGTCGCCTTTATTCATCTCAAATATATATAAAAATCTGGCGGCAGGTTAGATTGCTACATTGAATGAAAATATGTCTATCGCACATCACTACTCTGACTTAATTGGGCTGATATTCATCTTGGTAGAACTGCAGATCTTCCTTCTGTTTCTTCTGGGGAAAAAAGCTGAGCTGAAGTGAATTAATTAAATTAGTAAGAAAAGTTCCGAGTAGAACTGACAGATACACTAGTATGATACGCTATTAAGTGCAAATTGAAATTCTGAATATGAACAGCTGCAGGCAGTTCTAACACGGCTCTCAGCATTTGATCAACTCAAGCTTTCTTGCACTGGAGCTCACACATTTGAGCACTATTCACCACCAAAGCAAAAATAAAGAAGAAGAAGAAAAAAAAAAAGAAAAAAAAAAAAAGATAAGTTTTCAGATGATCTATCCATCATTCTACAGTATCTCAAAGATGACACAATAGTTTACTCATGGACTTCCTAGGAATATAAAGAAGATTTCCTTTAGGCAAAGAAAAGGGTAACTCTGACCTACTGTCATTTTCCTTCTTACATACTAGCAAGAGGTGAATTTCTCCCAATTGTCTTTCTGTTCTGCTCCTAGACTCAAACTATTAATAATGCAGTAGCCATGTGCCATGCTTTTGCTTCAGTGTAGCCCTGCACAGGCATCGTGCCATCTGAAGTCCAGGTCTAGCTTAGCAGTACTCCTTGGATCTTCAAGATACAGGAAAAGAAGCAAGAAAAAAAAAAAAGGGAAGAGATACTCTTTACAGGCACAGAAAGGGTTAGAAATGCGTGGTGAACAGCAGCAAGCACCCTTGGGCAGTATGGAAGCAAGCCTCATTAAATTCAGTAACTTACATAACCTGGACTGAAACAAATCCACACTGCAATCAGCTTCCTCTCCTTGAGTCCCTAATTTCAGTCAAGGTAAGACAACATGGGAGTTTAAAAAACCCACATTTAGAAAACTTATTTACTTTTTGTGAAAGACAGCATAAGAAAAAAAGCATTAAGGAAAGTGCTCTGGCTCCCAGTTTTTATCAAGCCTTTAAGCTTCAGTTATTTGAAGATTTTATGAAATAAATTTTTCAGTTCGAGCTACTGCTATGTTCTGAAAAGAATACATATGAGAAGCCTGTATGAGACTACCTGATGGGTATGACTACCTCGTGCAGATGAGACTACCTGAAGGGTTTTGGTTAAGAATGATTACATCAATATTTTATTTATTTAGGAATGCATTTTGCACTAAAATGCAGGTATTGTAAAAGAGGAGTCATATTAAAGATTACCCTCTTCAGATCATGCAGTTTTTAAGAGCTACTCATGTGGCTGGTGTCCTGCTGCTACCACACCAGCTCTGGAGACCTCAAGGCTGCCCACCAGACAACCTGCCACCGTAGCACGGCCAAGTTGTCACCAGGAGCTGGAGAAAGCTCAAACTTACAGGAACAGTGTGAAGCTGTTCTGAGGAAAGCTAGTTCAGGAGTAGCTGCTTGACTTCACACTGCCCTACTGTATTGCTCTAGCCGGGTTAGACCCTCACAGGTATTGAAAACCACAAAGCAGCACAACTGTCTATGGATGCAACATAACTAGCCATCATGACAGCAATGCTTAATGATACTTTTATTAATGATGTGTTGAAAGCTGCACCTATAACAGTCTCTGCTCTGGCTCAGGGCAAGACCTGGCCTACCTTATGTGCACTATACAAATTAAGTACCAAATGTGAGAGCAAGAAAACTCAGTATGTCTGTTCTTGAAGAAGCACAAAACCAAGTTTCCCTTGCACTATGCCAGTGGGAAAGCCACTCAGCTCTTGAATGACCCCTTCTCATTTTCACCCTTTTCTCAGGTGATCAAGTGGATGACCCTGGTTTTCAAAACTGCTGTTGTGATTGTCAGCTGCAGCTTCTCTCCTTTACAGCAAAGGGGAAAAGAGACAGTAAAACTAACTTTTTGGACATTAATTCTCAGGTATGCAGCTGTTCAGGGTGGAGAAAGAATCAATGACAAGTAAGCTGATGAAATAGAAGAGCACTCTCTTCCCGCTAAATAATCATCATTATCCTTACTGTCTTCCTATAAATAATAGTGGGGGGCGGAGAAAAGTAACATCTACTGCCTAGTGCTGAAATAAAGAGCTTTACACTGATCTGGCATCACTATGGATGTGTCACCCTATAGCTTTGTTTAGAAGCCCAGGGAAATGTATCTCATTCACTGCCTCAGCTAAGAGCTGCTTCCTCCACCCGAATTGTAAGCATGAAAGCAAGTGAAGTATTATATCTGAATTCATTTGAAAGACCTGACAGAGAGTTATGTTCAGAACCATATACATCAAAGGTCAGATCACTGCTGACAAAACATTTTGCATTTAGTTCTCAAATTTAGAAAGTGCTACTGCTTCACTTACAAGAAACTGGGGGAAAAAAAATGGAGCAGTCTGGGCATCTTGAAGTGAAACAAAACTATTTTCTCCTATATGTGTCTGCACAATAGAAATGCATATAAAGCAAAATCTGCAGGGTTGTTTCCAAGTATGACCATGAATATAACTTTCTGAAGGTTGTAAAAAAAAAAAAAAAAAAAAATCATAAAGAATGAAGTAAAAAGGGGCAGGAACAGTGAACAGGCAGACAGATACGGGTAACATTTTCAAAGGTTATTATTTATATAATTGAAACTGTTACTACAATGTACTTCCCATTTAACCAAATATCTCAATGACTTTCACAAACTAAGCCTTGCAACAGCTTGTCACTGAAGCAAGAAACCCATGGAAGTTGCAAAAACGGCATCAGGAGGCATCCTGACTCTAGATATTTTAAGACTTTATTTTTCCAAAGTATGAAAATTTTAAAAGCTCTGTGCCTGCGCATGCGCACATGCATGTGCATATATGTATCCATCTGTTCAAACTACTGCGCTATCTGTATATCTAATTGAGGGAACATCTCCAATTTATAGTGGCAGAGCATCTTCATGACGTATCACATTCACTGAGTTGGTTCTTGGGTGCACTCAGTACATGCTTGATGAATGCTGAATAAAGCCCAAAGTTAGGAAAGCCAACAAAGGGCTCCAGACTTCTTTTTATAAGTTTTTTAGGGGATGATGGTTGATTCCCATATTACTGTTTACTTTGTGCATTGCTGATGCATCATGTGTAACAATGCATAGTTAAGACGCAAAATTTGGATTATCTCTTTGAACTTGGTTAGGATCACCACAGTACACAAATACCTTTAAAGAAGCCATTGAGGTTGTGCATGTAATTTGAATCCATGACACAGGGCAAGCAGTTAATCCTCTCACTATACTGCATGAAGTAAAGCTGCACCCATGCAAAATTTCCTGTAGCAACCAGCTTTCTCTTTTCAATATCAAGTTTCACTTTTAAATCTTAAAGAGTGGGACACTGTACTGTGTAACTAGTCAGTGGAATTGACTTAACAGTGGAGGAAAAGTTCACTAATATAGATGCAAATTCAATTACAGATTTCATCATGTTAACGACATTTTAACCTTTACTTTCCAAGAACATCCACTGTAGGATTTCACTAGCACAAATGTATGTAGCTTCACTGCTTTACTACAGCAGAACAGAGTATAGGAAGGCCAAAAAATGGCAATGGAACAAAATCCCATCTTCTTTTACCCACAGCTTTTTTTAAATGCCTGGGAATAAAAGGCTATCATGGGGGCAAGGTACTATTTCCTGAAGTCTTTTAAAATACTAGTTTTATTCTCAGTTGGACTATAACCAAGCTACTGTTGCAACAGACATACTGAACTCCATGCTTTCAGCAAAGCTTTTGGTGTATTGCACAAAGGAGAAGAAAACTTTTAGAAAGATTTGCCATGACTGAGACCTCCAACGTTGCACATACCTAGCAGAAGGATAAATGGAAGTCAAGGGAACAGAGCCTACATTCCAGACTCTACAGTGGATTTACAGGCATTTTCATTCAGAATGGGGAAAAAAAAACCCCAACAAAAACCAAACCAAACCCCACACCAACAAACAACCCAACCCTAAAATGCTCTTTTGTGCAGAAGTTCCCCTCTTGTATATCTGTTTTGTGCAGAGAAATTCCTGACTTCATAATCATTATTTGAATTCAATCCCCACCACCACCTTCCAGAATTTTAGGTGTATCCATATTCCAGGGGAAAACTGCTGGTCCAGCCTGTCGCCTCCTTCTAGTTTTGCAAACTGCTGTTTTGATGCAGAATGTCTTTGAAACTACTGCATGAAGAAGAATTTGGTAACTGCCACTTTTATTGACAGAGGGAAAAAAACCCCAGCAAAACAGATTCAGAAAATGCAGGAGCCTGAATGATAGCAAGAGATATAAAAGGGGAACACTGACACAAGCAGATTAAAAAAAAGCAAAATGAGTAATTGCCCGGAATGGGCGTATTGAGGAAGCATGATACATGTGCTACAACTTTAGGATTTACACCAATATTGACCATTATTTTTGAAAAGTCATAGTCTGTGAGGAGCACCTTGTAAAGCTGGAATAAAGCAAGTAAATTATAAAATAGAATTAGACCGATCCTAATCATTACAACTAAATGCATCCTTAGTATGACTGCACTGGGATATCTGGCTATGAAAAACCACAAACATGAATAGGGGAATTCTGGAATTAAAATTGTTTTATTGGTTGTGGCACCAAGGTTCTGTGCTTGTAAACATATAATCTACTATTAAACAAGGCCTATGTTTTAATATATAATATCCTAACATTAAAAAAAAAAAAGAAAGTATTTTCTCCTCTAAACCAAACTATCTGAGAGTGGTAGAAAGGAGGTTCCTTCCTCAGGTGTTACTGAAGAGCAACTAGACAGTAAATCTGCAGAGTTGTGTTTTTTTCTACTCTTATACAGATTGGGTTTTATGCCTAAACACAATCCAATTTGGGTTTTAGGCTAAACCAAACTTTCTGAAAATTACCTTGTAAGAGCAGGAGTAGCCATGCCAGCTTGCACTCCAATAGCCATAGGAACACCTCCACAGCGGATATTTCCCAGCTCTTCCGCCACTGCAATGTTATAGGAGAAGTCCAAGCCCATGCCGCCATATTCTGAGAAAAAAACCAAATCTATGACACTCATGTTCTAGACTGGCATAAGCAACAAGAAAAAAAAAATATTGCTACTGCAAGGACTTGCCAACTGTAATTTCACTGCTAATTTTTAAATATTGGACAATTATCAGCTTTCCTTTCAGAAAAATGATGTCATACTATTCTTTACAAAACCTGAATTTAAAATTACACCTGCTCTAATTACCCATGTGCACATCAGGTCACCTCTGAATACCCTAAGTGGCATCATTACTTTTACTTGAAACCGCAGGAAAAAGTGATGTGCTGCTGAAAATAACATTAGAAGGCAAAATTATGCTTTCTAACAGCAAGGTCATATGAACAAATCACCACAAGGTAAGAAGTGCTTTTATTTCTCCAAGATAATGCCTGACACTCGCTCTCTCCCCCCACGACACTCAAGTGGAGCTCATCATTCACACACAGCAGTCAAGTCAGCACAAAGCAAGACCAAGTGCCCCTATGTTAAGTTACTGCTGTAGCTCAAAATCCATGTTAGACACAAGTACGATACCGAACACGCATATTTCATATCCTGGCACCTGGTTGGTGCAGTCATTAAAGCATTTTTCATTAGCAGGCAGCTGACAACCCCGGGTGCTGGCTGGGTGCCAGCATGGGCTGCTCCTCCTCCCCACATTCCAATCTGCAAATTCAATTACAGAGGATATTATTCTTCATCTCCTTCCCATGCCCAGTGCTGATAAACCCACCATGCAGTGAAACACAGAAAACGGCTGCATTGCTATGATGGATGAGGTAATTTCTAGCTGTACTAAACAGTTTATAGTCCAAAGGAAATATGGTGAGAAAGAGAAAGACTGCTGGACGTCATTAGTTGACTGAGAAGCTTTGATTAGATAGCGTTTTCCTCCTTTTTTTTTTTTTTTAAACTCTTTTGAAAACCAGCTACGAAAATTTAAAAAAAAAAAAAAAAAAAAAGATACAATCCCCTACCCCTCACACACACAGTAAGGGGCAGACAACCCTCTTCCATTCTCACTTGCTGATATCAAACACTATCTGAGCTCACCCCTCTACTGACCTCCTTTGAAGTTTTCAAAAAACACCATTAATTAAAAATCAAAACACCACAGTGCATATAAACACAGGGCCTGGTGTGCTATCATCTGTTTCCTAAACCCACAAAAACTGTCTTTGTGCATCCTTTTTCTGCAGAAAGAAAACACAAATAGAAAAGGCTAAGTGTGAAGTTCAATTTTCAAATAACATTTCTCCTTCGGTCATCCTGAATAGTCTGGATTGTCAGAATTTAAAAAATAGCTACTTTTCCAAACTTTTACCTGAAAATAATGAATGTTTCTTAAAAATATACACAAGGTTAAAATTCTTACTGGGAGTTTAATCAGTACAGTGAAACAACAGTAACATCGCAATGCGTTTAGCATAATATATAATCCAATTCTCTTGCCTTCACAAAGCCCCCATCAATAAATAAATGGTCTGAGGAACAGTAAGGAATGTACATGCATGCAAAAGCAAGGCTATTTAGAGATGTGTGGTATGAGAGAATTTTTGCTAATTTTATATGAAACTATAGCAGAGTTATAATAGATAACCTCAGTTCTCGCACCACTCAAATGCTTTCCATTTGATTATTTTTTTTAATGTCAATCATTTTTTTGCCAAACTACAGTTATTACTAATTTTGTCTTTGGTTTTGTCTACCAAGCAGTTACATTTCTGTCTTTCACTTAATTTCACAAATCAAAACCTTAGTCTCTTGATTCACCCAAAGCAACTTCACAGGAGGAATGCTATGCACAAAACTGACCCAAAGAAGGACAGTTTTATGCAGGTGTACAGCTTACATTCTTTGTTCATATAATAATATATCATGAATTGTAGTATAACAGGCTTGCCTTGTTCTCATTTGAGATTAGTTACTAAGTGGTACATTTTAAAAACAAAATGCTGCAAAAGGCCAGCTCTCGAAGTGATTAACACTGAAAGAATTTCCTACCAAAGGGAGGAAACAATCAGAATGAAGCCTTAGGAGCTGAGAAGGTGGAGGGGAGAAGCCCCACCAGGCAAAGAGATGATGCACCCTGCAAAGATTTTATAATCTGGGGATAGATAATGCAACAAACAACCACAGATGCAGACAGGCAGGAAGGGCAGAAGCAAATGGTAAAAACATTAATCAGACAACACCTAACTTTTCATCAGTTCTGTTCCAGGAGCCCAGGAGAAAGAGTTTCATGGAGAAATGTGAGTGGTTTGACAGGCAATTATAGGGAACACCTCTTTTGAACCCAAACTACTTGATCAAAACAGAGATTCACTTGTCCATGCAGTCGGTGCAGCTATATCCCCAAGTAATTTGGGTAACTTATGCCATGGCTAAAGACAGTTGGGTCCCATCTCTTTGGAGAACTGGATCTCTGCACCGAGACACGCTGCCAGCAGTCACACACAGCAATAGCAGGCAGCGCTGGCTCTGAGCACCGATGCAGCTTTCTTTTTTCCCCAGCACATGGCAGCAGCCTGGCTTTCACAGCCCCGCTGCCAGCACTCCAGCCAGCTATTTTGGGGCTGGTCTGAGCACATCATCCTGCATGCCACAGGACTCAGCTCTTTAACCAAGACAAAACCACTAGGCTGTTCTTATTTCCACCTGCTGCAGCAATGATAGTGAATGTTTAATTTTTATTTAGAATAAGACTCACTCTTTTTGGAATAACCCTTATTTGCAATAAGGGAATAAGCTGGTAGTAGGAAGATTGTGTTTGCCAGTCTCATCAACAAACACCACCTCCTGGAAGTATCCGTACAATGAGGTAATGCTAATAGGTCAATATAATTTCCATTCAGAAAAGCCAACGCCATGCCTAATATAATTTTTGGTGAAAAATCCATAAAATGAAAAGAACTAAATCCATTTCAGATCTATTGCTTTAAAAAAAAAAAAGAATAACAAGCTATATGTAAATATACACATGTAAAACATTTCTAGGGTAAATATTTCATTTAACTTTAAAATGAGATGAGTGACCTTCAGCAAATTGTTTGGCTACATTTCCATCTTTAATTTGCAAGAAATATTAAAAGAACAAAGCAAGGCAAAACTAGGCAGAGTGTCTAATGCACTAATGCTTTCACAATTCAAAACAGGTAGAAAAAGGCAACTCTGCTAGATTCAAATTTTTACTGTTTTGCTGACAATAGCACAACTTCCAGCTGTTAAATGGCTTGATATCTTATCTTTTGCTCGATTTTAGGTTCTTTTACAAAGAAATTAAATTACAAAGCCCAAAGCAAGAACACATGAACATCCACATAAATAAAGCTTCTGCGCTGCAGAGCATGGGCAGGACCCACACTGGAGTAGGGGAAAAGTGTGAGGAGGAAGGAGCAGCAGAGAGGGTCTGCTATGGACTGACTGCAACCCGCATCCTCATCCCCCTGCGCTGCTTGGGGTGGGGAGGGAGGTAGATGACTCAGGAACGAAGGACTAAAGCTGAGCCTGGGAAGAAGGGGGAGAGGATGGGCAGAACACGTTTTAATTTGGCTTTGTTTCTCACTACACAAATCTGGTTTAATTGGCAGCAAATTAAATTCATTCTCCCCAAGCCAAGTCTGCTTTGCCCATGATGGTAACTGGTGAGCAGTCTCCCTGACTTTCTCTCGACAGCTAAGCCTTGCCATCGTATTTTCTCCCCTGCCTGTTGAGGAGGGGGAGTGGGCGAGTGGCTGGGTGCGTGTCTGGCTGCTGGCCAAGGTGAACCCACCACACCATGGTCAGTATATTAACCTATTTTTCTTTTACATTGGCTCTGTGCTTTTCTGCTAATCACCACCACCACATTATTTTAACCCCCCAAAAACCCCAAACCAACCCTCCTTATTTTATATAGACCAGCTTATTTCTACATGTTAAGTTTGTGACACTGCCAGTGGAGTGGGAGTCCAAGAGAAAACAGCAAATTTTAAAAAGCATCATTTTTAAAGGATGCAGATGTACATTCTACTAAATCTGATAATTTAGGGTATCAGGACTTTTATATATGAATATAGGCAGACAAGAGATGATGCCCAAAAATACAAATGAAAGAGCAGGACTATCTGATCTTCAGCTGCAACATGTCAAAACAGAAACGCTGCTGAGAAGATCAGTTGGGAAAACAAAGGCAAAGAATGTCTGCGAAAAAGGACTTATAAAGGCAAAGGAGAAGCTGAGGTCTTTGAAACAATCGTTTCATTTTCATGAAGACCAACACGTTTCTTGTCACTTGTTCAGCCACAGGCTCCCTGTTCAAATATGACTCTGTTCAATGATGAGACAGGCTTGAAGTCTCTAGTCCAAATTTTGTAAGAGTTTCGAAGTGTCTCTGTTTGGAATTTGCTTCTGAACCCCATCTAGTAGCTGTCAGTGGGAATGACAACATCTGTGGTGAAAAGGGTCTAAGTGAGTTGAACCAAGGTGAAACAGGGCATCTTCAAAGGGTTTTAAGAATGTGAGTGAGCTTGGAAAAAGTAATGATGAAAACACAACACAGCCGTATAGGTAACTCAATCTTAAATGCTTATATAAATTATCTTGTTTGTTTACATAGCTTCCAAAGTTCACATAAAGTGTATCTACACCAAAGGAAATCACACAGTATTATTTCTACTATTGGCACCTAACAAGAAAAAACAAATGTGTGTTCTTATTTCTAGTGACTAGAAAGACACATAAAACATGATTCAACTCCCATTTTGAAGACAGGTCTGAGAGACTCCTACATCTGACACTAGGATGACAGAGCTACTTGCCAGTTTTCATCATAGCCTACAATTTTAAAATCAACAGAAGGAAAATGTAAGTGTTCAAACCTTACTCAAATATAGTTCAAGAATTTCAGCTCCAGAGGACTAGAAAGAGCCCTGAAGTTACATAATTGCAAAAGTTATCAGGCAGGACAGTACAGACATCCTACTGTAATACTTTTGCTCCTCTTTATATAAAAGGA